CCAACCGCGACCGCAACACGATCGTATGGTAGCCCACGGTGACGTTGTTTGGAGAATAGAAGAAAGCGACTCTCCACCGCCAGACGCTGTGCTAGTATAGCGCCGCTCCAACTCGTTAACAGCTCTCAGCTACATCCGTGAGGACCGGAGTGAGCTAATCCAAGTCCGCGGCTGTCATGGACGGGTACAAGTGAAACACGGCACTCCAGACATCCTTGGGTAGTCTGGGCAACTCAAACCAAAGATCGATTCGGTCAGGAGCCCGAGATCTTAACACCGCCACCGACGCAGAAACACCCGACCAAGCTCTGTGGCCGCCGGACAGGATAAAAAAAACATGAAAGCGATTCACGTGACGAGTTCGAAAACACTCCGGGTGGGGGCAACCCGGGAAGCCTCGCGTAGGGTAATACAGCGAGCACGCATAAATCTTGATTCGGATGAGAATCCGCTCTCCCCATGGTCCAAGCCCAACTATGCGACGAAGGCGCTTCCATTCCAACGCATCCAGACCCACACGCACGTGTCGGTTAGCCTCCTCCCAGCGTGTCGACCATCTGGCCGAGCTGGCCTCCCCATTTCGGTTGGACCAAGCCGCCGCGGCAGCACGATACTGCGTCCGAGCTCGATGTCAGAAGAGCCGAGTTCTTTTAGTTTACGAGGCGGCCGTGACGGGGATGAGGATGAACCGCAAGTACCGTGACCTCGGGACGCAGCGCAGCGGCGACGCACCGAACAAGTCGCCCGTTGCTGAGCATTTGACCAATCTGGCGTGTTGTTAAGCTCTCACAGTGGACCACCGCAGCGCGATTGCGACAGCAGTGATTATTTACCGAAGTTGACCTACATCGGTCGGCACGCCTGGTCTCCTCTTCGGGTACAATCAGTCGGGTGTCAAAGAAGATCAGAAATTTGGAATGGCATGGAGTATTCGCAGTGGACACCCCCTGCGCCCGGGCTTGGCTGGATGCAGACCCCGCAGCTCTTCCCAGAACAAGTGGTGGAATGGCAGTCCCGAACCTAAGGGTGGAGCGCATGGTGATGGCTGAAGCGGCAGTGGAACGGTGGCACTGGAAGGGATGCACACCATCCACATCGTTGGGGACATTCTCATCGCTCGGCCGTCATACGCTGGAGAGGTGGCCCCGCGCACCGTTTTGACGCCGAACATCACGATACAGGTGCGCGAGTCCAGTCGAATTCTCCCTCCCATGTGGCAGACCGGCGTGTCTATGGTCACACAGTCAGCCGCGCCTCAGTCAGGCATGGCTTCTGTAATTATGGCAAACGGTATGTATCAACTGGCACACCACTTCGGCATGATTTCCTTTCAATGGAATTCGTGTGGGCGCCGCTGTCGTCTCGATGGTTCCCCCCTTAGAACCTCTACAACATGGCGGTCTTTCATGCACACAGAGGCGGCCACGGTTGGGCCGCTTGTGTACGGAGTGGCTGACGTATGCAGCCCTGAACGATCTACAGCTGTTCGAGGGTCTCAGTGGACGTGTGGTCAGTGGCAAGCACTTTAGAACTTTCACGCGTTTACATCAGCTTGTTCTCGATACTTTACACTGGCGGGGGGGGGGGCAGGAGACGACCGACTGGACTGCACCCTTATCTGCCCACAATCGCAGCTGACACAGCGAACTCTGCTTCAAATGGAACGGCTCTTCCTCGCCCTCCTCATGAATTACCTGGACTCCTGAGCGCGACCTCCCACAGCTCGGAGGTGCGCATCCGTGCACCAGGATTTCTCTGCATCCGATCGACTGCCGACCCGAATGCCAAGGTACCTGCCGTGGTCAGTCACCGGTTGCATCTTCAGCGGTGGTAATATGGCGGGTGGCTGAATTCCAGTATGATGAAGAGCAAGCACCATATGCTTCGTGTGATTTAGCAGCAGCCCCGACGCTGCCCCAAATGCATCCGTCACTTTCAGAAGCTGCAGGATATGCCTGCTGGACGCCAGGTAAGACGCCGTATCGTCGGCATAGCCAGCGACGCAGACATCGACAACACCACCCTGCGACCGGAGCTGGATGCCTGACAAATCAGGGTGACGATTCAGCTCTTGATACAGTGCCTCTAGCGCTAAGATAAAAAGGAGCGGGGTTAAAGGGCAGCCTTGACGAATGCCACTGGTCACACTTACACGATTTGTCGTGGAGCTAAGAATACACTCTTTGTTGAGCTACTGAATGCCTTCCAGAACTATCGTAAACAGGTGCCTTATCTGCTGCAGATAAGGTGGGTTTAATCAAGTATTATGTCAAGCATATCACGTTGGGTAGTCACCATAACCAATTTACTAACGATCTTCTTGTCCTAACAACAGTGTCCCAAAATTAGAAAATAATAATGAATACAGTATCCTGACTGGATGTGCCTGACACTTTGAACCGGACAGGACTTCGAATGATTCCTTCCATTTTTCACTTTCCCTTTCGCGGCACGAAGAAGCATGGAGGAGGAGTGCGAGATGAATGAACTGTTCTACTTGGCTCAGGTTTTCGCGCAGGTAGAGGATATTGTCAACGAGGTGCGAGCTGAGGTGTACTGGCTGATGATCGAGGATGCTTGGCGTGTCGCCATGCGGAGTCACCACACCTGACATCGCAATGCCTGGACAAACCAAGCGAGTCGGCGTGGATATCGCTGTACATGAACGGCATGGACAAGAACTTCCTGAATGCCACACGTTTAACGAGGTAGCACTTTGTTTGGTGTTGAATGGTCTATTTACATACTGGCTTTCTGCTGTCAACGACGTAGAGCTTCTTTCCATCAGTTGCTGCAGCGATTTTCAACTTTCAACCACATCCGCCCCGTGTCTTCCACTGGAGGCCGTCCTCCTAAACTGAGTTACCATCAGCAGGGCCTGGGGCTCATATTGTGCTTTTACGTGGGTTCGATGGAGACCAGTACCCTGTGCATGTTGTTCGGAGTGCCCCCGAGTACTCTTGCAAGTGCACTCCGTAAGGCTGAAGAAGCGTTGGCGGGTACGCTGAAGGGCTACCGACCGGCACGTATTTCGTGGCCATCCCCGGCCCGCCAAGTTGAGTTGGCACGCCGTGTAAAGCCTCGAGCCGTTAGTGAAGCACACATTTGGATTCATTGATGGAAATAATTTACGGGTGCGGTACTCTATCTTTACGTGGTATGACTGAGAACGAGCTAATAGCGATAGGCATTGTTCATTGTTTGTGTACTACAGGTCATGTAACCGTCAAGTGCAGACCTGCAGAACGTTATGTACAATGGCTGGCTCCACGGCGTCTTCGTGACGGGTACTATCTGCTTCGCGGCAGATGGATGCATTATTTGAAGCAAGCACAACTGTCCGGGGTCGTGGAACGACTCGGACACGTCGTTGTGGTTCCGATTGAAGCTGCTGGACCCGAAGTACTGCCCCGACACGCGGATGAACGTCGTGTCCGACTCTGCATTTCCTTGCTCCACTGAGCTAACCGGACGGATTATCACTCCCCTCAAGGATGGTGACATTGAGCGGATCCTGCCGTCGCTTGGGAGATCAGCTCGTACGCTACACAACGCAATCACGTCGGTGCGTCAGGCGGCGGAGTGGGCATGGGGAGCATACAAAAGGTGTATAGCCGTCTTAATCTCCCTCTCCCCTAGGACCCTGAGCTCCGAGGCCTACGCATCAACAAAATCTTTCGTTTGTGTAACTATCGCGTCCGCACGGTTGGGATCTCGCAGATATACACCACATTTACCGGCGAGATGGAAGAGATGTCAACTTTGCAGTAGGATATCTGCGATTTAGTTTTGTTGAATTGTAACACTTGAGTAGCTAGGTGCATGGCACTTTGCTGTAATGCGAGATGGAGACGTTCATGTAGCACATCCTCGCTGTTGTATTTGAAATTAACAAAAGCTGCTTGATCGAACTACGCTACTATTGAAAATGGTCATTGTGTTCTTCAGCTCTATACGCCTTCAGCGCTAGAGCATCAACAATCATCGTGATCGAGAGTACTCGTCGCCTACCATATGATCGGGAGCTCAACGTCGGCTCGGGGCTGGCCCGCATAAGACCGCGCGGGTGGACGACTGGTCGGTTCGACTGCTGGACAGGAAGTGCGTCAGGGCGGCTGTACGGAGCAGCCTTCGCCCGGCGGCTGTGCCGCGACTCTTTGCGGTCTTGAAGTGCATTTCTGGCGTCACTGGAGCGCGATTGTGTCTTCGACGGTGGTGTACGTCGTGGTTGCGTGTTGATCAGCACCGGCGAAGATGTCGTCGGGCTCGCAATGGTACGAGCTGAAGGGGATGACAGGCGCGATGACTGGTCACAATTTAGCGGGTGTGGTGGCTGGGTCGCAGAAACGGAGGCATCATGAGCTCGGTGCGCAGATGAGTACGGCGGCGTGAGAGCTCCTGTAGAGCCCCTGAAGTCTACCGTCTTCGTGTAACTTGCGACATCAATGCCTTTAGCTGTGCCACTGCGTCGCGGGTCAGGACACACATTGTGAGAGACGTTCTCGTCGCCGCTACTGGACTCGTTGATACACCTTTGTAGTTAAAACGGCGCAGAGTGAGTGCTGTGGGCCATCGCTATAGACAATTAGATTAGAGCGCGCTAGCTAAACATTAACAATAACACAGTAGAGCTCAGACTTCCTTGAGAGTCGCTTGTGTACTTCGGGACTAAATTATAGAATGAATCGTTTCAGCGTTTGGCGGCGCAAAAAGCTTTATGCAAAGATATATGACAGAGGAGTGGTGGCATCCCACGTCAGAGTGATGGCCAGCTTAAACTATACAAATGTCAGCATTAACCGTTAAGATAGGTACACGGCATAACTCCAGGGGTAGGTGAGTCTGGTGAGACGTTAATTCGGTGTGGTGAGATTTAAGTCGGCGATATGAAGCGGATGGCGGGAACCCGGGTTACCATCGTGCCCCGACAGCTGGGAAAACTACCGGTAGTATGCAGGTATATTATGTAAGCATTTACATGTACGTGTATTATCAAATGGTCAGCTCGACGGCCTCTGGGCCAAGTTAAAAAACTGCAGGATCGAAGGCTGCTTCGATTTCAGCGTCTTTTTCTTCTTCTCGGGGCGCCCTGGTTTTCGCTTCTCATTTGATGGAGCTGGTACGTCTGTATCGTTGATTGTGGAGTCGAGTTGTGGAGCGTTTACGATTGGCTCTGGTACGGCTGGGTAGTAGGCCAAGAACTCCTGTGGTATCGAAAAATACTTTGCTGATAACGATTTCAACTTTTTCTCTGACAACTCTTTCGCTTGACAGCGCGGTAGCCGGACGCTGTGAATGGAAGCTTCCCAAATATTGCGAACATTCGTTCCAAAGAGCCCGGTGATAAAAGCGTTTTGTATCTCATCGAGACTGTTCGGATTAATCATTGCATAGGTGGAGGCCTCACTATCCGGCGCGTTAACTGTTTTGCGCGCAGTACAAACTCCTTGATCTATCTCAAAAAAATAGTTCGAGGTGTAACCGGATGGAGGAGAAATAAAGTATTTGCTGAGTAATGTGCCCCATTGTTCGAAAAAAGGATGGTCTGGTTTGCTGCGGTCGAGAAATATCCCATTAAGACTTTTTACCTTGTTCACTTCTTCCACGAGAAGCAGTGGAGCATGTAAGTTCTTTTTGCGTGTAGCACGTCTACACCATGCAATGACGCGGTCGGCAATGATGTGAGAGTGACCAGGTAACAAGAAACACAACACCACTTTCTTGTACGGGAACACCACGGAAAGCATCGCGAAAAACTTCATGACCACCTTGGATTTGTTCTGTCCTACGCAATTGTTAAGAAGACTCAAACTTATCTCGGCAGGTGGCACGCCATTGCGGGCATCATTTTTTAAGGTGGATAAGTGATATAGCAGTCTTAGGCTGCAAAGGGCATCGGCTCCCTTACCTTGGGCGCGTTCGTCGTAGAAGTAGACGTTGTTGCGCTTGTTTGTAATATCGGCTACAACAAAATTCTGGATGATCAGGTTGCTGTTAAAATAATCCGATGACGGACGTGAATGGCCATAATGCGGCATCGATATTCCCCCACCAAAATCCTACGCTTGTATTTGAACACGGATCACATTGTGCTCGCCATCATCTTCACTATTTGGTTCAACAATGGTGTCATCATCGCAGGTGTCGTATGTGTCAGGAATAATGTCATCTGGTAGTTGTTGGTCCGGTGCATGCAAGGCCGTGTAAGATTTAATAAATTTTGACACAAACCTACGCTGCGCAATGGCCCCATTGATGTGCGTGGTTTTTTCCTGTAAAATATTTTTCTTTTCAGCTTCACTGGTGTCGGGGTCATTCAACCGAATATCCAGTCTGACACAGCAATCACAAACGTCTTCTGCAGTTCTTGTGAGCCGAACTCCCGGGTAATAGAAGTGCACATACTGCGTAAACTAGAGTAGCTTAGCGTTCGTGCGGTAGGTTCATTGCGTGTGATATCGTCAACGTAGCGTGCATGAACCACGACCCACGTCAAATTGGGCTCAGTAAAATATTGCCGTGGACGCCGATGAGCACATGGAAAGCCATCTTCTAGAATTCAAGTAGCACAGTGCTTTTTAAAAGCCTCAATGTCCTCGTCACCAAAGGCGTGCCATGGTGCTGCCTGAGATCTGCGAGTATGCCACTCCTCAGGACCCAATTCACGAATCTTGCGCAGACGATCAACACGTGAGCCACCGACCGGAATAATGGCCCGAATTTTACACTGCGATAGACCTTGTTGCAAGAGATGCATCACGACGCCCTCAGACTGCTGCCACTCGGAGCCACCGTAGCGGGTGTCTTAAGAACTCCAATCCTCGCGCAGTTTCGTTACTGACTCCACGCCAAGTTTTTCGACAGCTCGACGAAAAGCAGCCTACCTTCGAGTAGGGCCCTTCTTACGCTTACGCCGTGGAGCGGTTGCTTGTGAACCTCCACTACGACGGCGGGTCATTCTCGCTAACCTCGGCCACTTTGGAAGTGAGCCTCCCAAACAAAAATAAATAATTCTCAAAAAGTTCGGTTTTATTTGCGGCGACCTGGGTTACTGCCAAGTGTTTCATATGTCGTGGCATATCTACTGCAGATAAGGCAGCTGTTTACGATGGTTTTGGAAGGCTTCCACTGTCAAAGATTAAGCCAGGTGTTTAGTTGAAATGCTTTATAAAAAATAATATGTAAGTACAACCCTCGTTTCTGCATATCAGAAATTCGACACCTATTGCCCTGAATACTTTTTTTATTTAACATAGTAGATTATGCCCGCTCGAACTCAAGTGTCTCATTTTGAAATTTCCACAAATCAATCAACCATACGCTCCGAGAGCTGAATCCATTCGCAAGAAACTTTGTGGATGTGCCATCGTGTAGCGGCTCTACCGTCCTAACAAACCTCTCAAAATACCCGTGTCTCCCTAGTGTCCTGAGTAGAAAGGTTCTGGATAGGGAGTCATAAGCCTTTATAAAATCAAGGAACAGGACGACCGCTTCCGATTAAGCACTCTCCGATTCAATAAGGTGCTGGGCGGCCTCAAATAGATGAAGCGTCTCATGTATCGTGCGGCCTGGGACAACCCCGTTCTGATTCGGATGCACTCGATCGACCAGTGTCCGCCGTACTCGCTTGGTCAGGATTCTGGAAAATGTTTGTACTCGGTGCTAAGAAGGGCAATTGGGCTATATAGTTGAGCGTATTGTGCTGATTCCCCCTTTCTTCAAGCAGGCGGTACTGGACTCTAGGAAGGAACGGGGAAAGGGCCCCTCCGAATACCACGCACTGAGCAGGATACCGAATATGGGGGCTCAGGAGGTCCTGATATGCGCATCCAATCCAGTTGCCGTCCTCGTCTTGCAGTCCGAGAAGGCAGCCTCAATCTTCTTGGCAGTGATAAGGTCCTCCACCGCTTTTTGTTCAGACGACGTCTCGGGAACCTGTTCAATCCACGCTGCCACTGCAGCTAGGGGTGAAGGGTAGGCGTACATCCTGCTGAAAGATCGGCGCTCACGCATCCGCGAGAGTGTCTGCCTTCGCGTGTATCGCTCTTTTCGGACAGCCGGGAACCGGATCCAGGCGACGGATCGTACGCTCGCTTGAACATGGCATTGGTGGTTTTGCCGTCTTAATAGGTTGCCTCCGCGAACTGGCGTCGCTGATGGGATGACGACCTGGCCTTCTGGCAGTCCGCAATCGCACGACGCAGCCTAGACGCAGGTGTGAATCCAGTACCATCTTCCAGATCTAAAACGGCCAGCCTATCTGTGATCCCGTCCACGGTGACAGGAGCGCCAGCTGTCAAGGCGTGAAGGCGCGCTTGCTGTGCTTTTAGTCGTCGTAGCTTTTGCCGAGTGGTGTTTCGGAGGCGATGGCGCTGGTTCTGGGTCTCCATTTGAATGAACATCGCTATGGCCCGCTTCAACGTGTTCCAGCACCCTCGCCGACAAGGCAACTGAGGAAATGGTGGAATGGAACTCCGCTAACAAGGCCCTCGTTCGAGCTGTGACGGCCGCTGACGCATAGTCTGGGACTGAATGAAGGCGACTTAGCCGCTTGACCCGCAGCTGGGTCATTTGGCACGTGTAGATGAAGTAGAGATCCGTAGTGATCAGCACCCCGGGGGGAAGGTTTTTATAGCCCGCCACCCATGATGCCATGGCTGGGTTATGATACCAACGATCTAACCGAGACGACGCAGCACCATGCAAGGACATCGTAGAATGATGGGTGTGAGTCTTGGCGTGGTGTTGCGATATGTCCCCATGATCCCAACTGAGCGGACGAGCTTCTGCGACTGGATTTGGGAGGCTCCAATTAGCGAGGAGGTCCCGCAGCCCCTGCGACTCATGGGAACCAGCCTTGGTGATATAACTTCGATCGGCTTGGTCATCTAGGATGCAATTAAAATCGCCACCGACGGATAGTAGAACGCCGGACGGGAGCTTAACGTCCAAGAGGGATGGGAAGAAGGCCTCCCTCGGCGCCGCACGGTGGGGTGCGTATATGTTTAGCAGCAAGGCCCTGTGGCCAAGCAGCGTGCCTTGAATCGCCATGAAGTGCTGACTCCAATGGTCTTCCAAAACTGGGGTAGTATCTTTAAAAGCCCCGTAGGGATGAATAAGACCGCCACTCCACCTTTTTTGTTGACGGCTGGGGGTCAGATGGAGTAGACGCACGTGCCCGGACCTGTCCAGAAGCCCCAGTCTGCGGCATGGTGTGTATTGTAGCGTTGAACCTCCACCGCTTCCACATGTGTTTTTTTGAGCAGCTGAACCTCGATGCGGCTTAGCTCGGAAGGAACGGAGCCATGCCTCGCGCTCCGCTGCCCATTGACCGAAACCATTGACATTTTGGGTTACGAAACAAGAAAGCTGTGAAGGATCGCTGCGTTAAAAAGGATGTGCATATGTTCGTTATTCCCAGGGGAATTACACCGCATGTGCAAGCTGGTGATATCGACATCTTCTATTTCTTTAAGGATAAGTTGTCCACCATCATCGACGAGCGGAATCCTTGGATCGTGTTATGTACACGAAAAGAGGACATGTGAAGAAGCCGCCAGTAGAAGACGTAGTTCAATGAGTTCAAACAGCATGGAAGGCCGTGCCGTATGATGTCGTGGTCCGTTCACTTGGACTCTGAAGGAGACCGCTCCAAGTTGGAGCGGTCCCCTTTTCCCCAAGCTTTGAGGATTGGCATATTTGCCATCACGACGCTTACGGCGAAATGCTTTGGGGCACGTGGCTGACGCGAGATGGTGATTCTGACGAAGACGACGCCGAGGAGGATCTGCTGGATAATTTGAACGACTTTTTCGATTCAGGACGCGGAAGTCTATGTGTGAGCTCATCATTATTCACAGCAGTACACTGCGTACTGCTGTGGCTTTCTGATTTGATATTACCGCATCGCCCCTGTCCTAAGCGAACGCCCATGTTCGACGTTTACGTGTAAGGTTAGTAGCAAATCTCACAATTAGTGCTAAAAAGTAAAAAATACTACAAGCTGATCCAGTTGAATGTTCCGTTCGTGAAAGACCTGCCTCCATTAATTCCAAAGTGATCCGCTGGTGAGAGCAGTTACTAGCATTTTGGTCGAACAGCTCTAGCTATTTGTATGCTTACGCTCTTCGTAGTCTCTTTATCAACCCCCATCAGACTGCTGCTTACAATTAGCTCGCGAAAGGACACATTTACGCGCAGCAGCCATATGTTTTAGATAAAGCGCTGCCATTGGCCATAATCGAAGTTCGCTTAGGACAAAACTTCGCTTAGGACAGGGGCGATGCGGTATTCGGTACAACCCGTTTGCTAATCAGAGCTGAAAATTAATAGCTGGATTCCATATTTTTAAAATGTTTCGGCTTTGCTTACAAAATTATAGAGATAATTTTTGTGCAGGCTTCAATTTATTTCGGGTATCCTGCTAAAAACATAATTGACTGCACTAAACTGTAAATATCCCAATAATTGCAGATGGTGGCTTCAATTTATTTCTGGAATCCTCAACGATTATTGATTGCAGTGAATTGAAGATATCAGCTCAATAATTGTCCTAAAGAGACGATCTCCAATAATTTTCATCAATTGCCATATGAGCGAATTCCGACAAGCAACTGCGCACGTGGAGGACCTTGAGGCGCGTCTAGCGCAGCTGCAGCAGTCTGTCGCCGACGACATAGTGAGCGAGTCTTCAGAGGAGAGTTTCCGCTTCATTATGGTTCGTCCACTCTTTTCCACATTCAACACTGCAAAGAAAGATATCCATACCCACCTTATCGTCATCTTTACAGACCACAGTTAATGGAGATGTAGACGCCATGATGGAGAAGTTTCGCGCGCGCTGCTCAATGGTAGATCCTATAACGAACCAGCCTCGATTCGGCCCCAAAATGCTGGCCAAAGTGCAGGATCTGCTACATCGGTATGACAATGTGAGACTTACGCTCGAAGAGGACGCCCCGCTGCGTCTACAGCTGCAGACAAAACTCAGCCAGATAACAGAGCAACATGCCACAAGGCAACAAGCGGAAGAGAAGCGTGAGGAAGCGGTCAACGAGGCTCAGCGAGTCGCTGAACTGGCGAAAGAACAGGAGAAACAAAGACTAGTTCAGGAAGCTGAGGAACGCGAAGTGGAGCAGCAAAGAGAAGAGCAAGAGCGGATCCAAGCGCTGGCTGTTGCAGCGCAGAAGAAACGCGAGCAGCGCGTGCAGGAGCGCGCTGAGCAGGACCATCAGCGACAGCTAGAAGAGCAGGAGCGCGAACGCTTGAACGCGTCGATCCCGCACGGAAAAGAGGAACTTGAGATGGCGATTGCCATGCTACGAGAAGGCACAGACAGCGAGGTACGTTTAATTGTGGAATATTTTAAAAACAATAATTGTGATATTTTAATTGAATTATTGTGGAGAGTAGACACTGTTTCGACAGTCGCTGCAGAAACTTCTAGCTGTGGTGCGCAATATCTGCCAGTCACCGGAGAACGCTGCGTTCCGTCATATTCCCAGGGATAACGCGCACTTCCATGCTGATCTGGGCCAATATCCAGGCGGACATCAGTGTCTTCTAGCCATGGGGTTCAAAGAGCTTCAACAAGGAGACGAAACACAACCTCGAAATGTCTTCGTGTTGGAGGTAAACTAGTAACATTGACATGTAACAATTGCTCCGTCGTTGCTAACGTAGTTATCATTCCAGGAACCGGATTTATCGGAAGATTTAGATGCATGGAGCTCTTGGTTTGATGAGCTCAAGGAGCTGCAAAGTCTGGTGGAATCCAAGATATAGAAGACGAGCTTTCAGCGTTAAGATCAAGGATTTTGACTCTTTACCTTGTCTAGATACATTGGATATCGTTATGAGCCTCCTTCCTCACCAACTCGACAATGGGCGGGTGAGTCACGTTAGCCATAACAGCGGTAAATTCCTCCAGCGACAGACTCTCGTGTCTGTCCAATCTCAGTGCATCCAACGCGGCCGAGAACGCAGCAAGAGGATCTTGAGTCATCTGCCTGGTAATGAGTTTCATCGTAAAGGCCAGCCCGGCCGACGAGACTTTGCCTGACCCAACAACATCCAAGTGTTGGAAGAAGCGGGTTATGTCTGCAGAGCTGAGAGTTGCTGAGCTTTGTGGAAATACTCCATGAACCTGCTTAGAGCTGTCAACTTCCTGGTCGTTTTCAGTAACGCCAAGCCCAAGCTGCTCTTGGTCATGAACATATTTTTCAATCTCTTCGACTCGAGTGCCCACGACAGAGCACTCACGGTAGCTTTTCGCTTGATCAGTAGTTAGTTTCTTCTCCTCTGGAGCTGCCACCGGGGTGTTAACTAACGTTGCAGTAGTTAACGGAAATACCGCGTTATTTTGCGCCACGGAGATCTCCATTTGAAGCATAGCAAACCACAGGAACGCGTCGTTGTCCACAGCCACGTTCATGGAGACAAGAGTGCGTGTCACAACGTTGCTAGTGAGCTTGATACCATTGACACAGTCGTCGTCGCTGAATAAGGCAACTTCGCAATCTCGCAGGGTAACTTCTGTTAAAATGTTACCATTGCTTTGTGTTACACGGAACATCCCATTAGCCAGACGACATCGATGTAGTTCCCAGTCATCAGCTGCTCGGAACTTGACCCGAACAACGCCTTCCTTCACTGCAGGAGCCCGGAACAATAGTCGCTTAGCTTGCTTGTAACATCCTTTCTTCTGACGTAGCGTGTGCCAAATAGTGTCAACCGAGTCGTGCTCCATCCCAAATTGTGAGATGCCGACCAGCACGCTTCCTTGCGGGATAATAGCCGAGGTTTTCGTCTCGGTTGTGGCCTCTGGAGTCGTGGAAAGTAGACTTTTCGACGTAGCGACGGTAAGTAAGCTAACTCGTCGAGCGATTGCTGCCATACTAAGTCGTCTCGGTGGTCTTTGAGCCAACGGCTCGTGACTTAATACGAAGATACGCTTCTTGTGTTTCATCAAGACAATACCAGCGCTCGTCTCGGAAGCCACATCAAGTGAGTACACGACACTATGACGCAATAATTTCTGGATATCGTCGTGGAAAACTTTCTGGCAACGTGTTCGATCGACTGCTGCTGCTGCCTTCCGGATCAACTCCATCCAACGTCGAGCCTCAGTCGCACTACCCGGTGCAAACGCTACTTCACAGCCGAGACAACGGACCGTAAAAGCGTTGGCTTTGTCTAGTAACGGAGTCACACGACACGTTGGAACGAGCTGCACTTCAAAGACGGAACCCAATTTCCTCTCACTTTTCTTGACACGTAACATTCCGTTGTCCAATTCAACGTAGTGTTGCTTCCATGGTCCACCAGGTTTCGGTTGAGCTTCAACAAAGCTCTGTAATTGATACGGGCTGACCTCTTGTGTAGCTAAAATTCCAGGTTGTTTTCGAGGAGATGTTCCACCGTTGTGACGATACTTTAAAGCGATAATTCGAAGTCGAATGGCTAAGATCCAATGCGTTCGTATCTGCTCTGTCGGAGCTGCTAACAGGATAAACGCTTGTCCTGTGGTCACGATAAATGGGTAAAAAGCCGCAACGCTCGACCCTTTCGGTCGCACCTCGTTGTTTTTTAAGCTCGTGTCACTGTTGTCGACTTGGTTCCTTTCCTCTTGTTCTCGACGCACTTTTTCAATTCTTTGGATCCCCTTGAGTGTCTGTGGCGTTGGAACCACAGGGATCGAATTCGACGCTAGTACCGAGAGCTGGCGTAAGTACGTCGTGTTCTCCTGGCCGGCAAAACTCGTCGCCGTGAGAGTGAATTGTTTCATGGTTTTTGTCTTGTGATCCGAAGCTTTGCAGAAGCGCAGAGTCGAGCGACCGAGTTCCACATATCTGGCTTTCCAGCGGTATTTCGTTTTCAGTACAAAGCGCTTGAGTTGCTGAGTTGCTGAAATCTCCTTACGTAGCATAAGAGCTCCTTTCAACATTGTCGAGAGCGCTTCCAGTCGCTCGGAGAGGTGACGAAACCACAGATCGGCTTCTTCTTGACTATCCGCGATGTAGACGTCCGTGGTTTTGTCCGTGGTCAAGCAAATTGAGTGTGGAGGTGCTCTAGAATTCAACTCCAAGTAGTGATGCACTCGTGTTGCCTCTGTGAGGAAATATGTGGCATCGATTCTGGCAGTGAATGTTGGACGTGGATCCGTGAGGTAATAGTCCATGCGTGCATCCGAGAGCACGACAAAGGTGCGTTTGCGTTTGGCATTATCCCGCGTTCCATTCTGCACCTGCAAGTAGCCGCACAGCACGCCTCGAATGTAGTCTTCCATGACGAGTTTAGAAAATGGCAACAAAAAAAATAAACAACGAGATGATCAGAACGCGATGAACGTGTGGATTCATCTAAAATTAAACTGAATTGTTTTCTTTCTAAAGGTGGTTGTCACTTTATGTGTCCGTCTCAAGCTCGCAGTTGAAGAAGTGGTTCTTGAACGAGCAACTACTTTCGAACGGACTGACACTTGGCGTTGCCTCGTCACCATCATTCTCTGGTTCATTTTGTTGAGCTGTGGTTCTCTTCTCTTTCAAGTCGTGGCTACCATTGGGTTGGGCCACTGAGGTCTCCACATCTACTGACGAATCGTTGTCCGTAGATGATGCACTGCAATCGATTTGCAAGCGAGAGAACTCTCCTTGGGTAGATAAGCTTTGATCCTGGTGCTCGACTTCAGTCGAACGTGCATCTAGAACTTTACAGAGAAGCTCTTGGTTGCCATCGTAGTCGAACGGAACCTTCTTGGACGAGATATCACGGATCTCGAGGCAAGTTTTGCGCAGTGGGCGACAGGGCTTCGAGGACGGTGACGCTATCAGGAAATGCGTCGTGTTGTTGCACAGATCATTGACAGTCAAACTTGTCAAGCGGATACGACCTTTGTGTCCACGTGTGAAGCGAATGAAGTCTCGAATATCGCTCTTCACATCGACATCTTCCAACTTGGGGGCAATGGCCTGCCAGTCATACTGCGACAAAAATATTTAGTACCGAACTAATGGAAAATGCGCCACCCTCACCTGTTCGTTTGCAAGAGCTGAGGATGCAAACACGACATGCTTCCGGAGATTTGTAGTGATGTTCAAGATACGATCCTCCGCGATTTGCTGTAAATTGTTGTTAATTAATTTTAACAATAATGGGTAACTTAACAGGAAGCAACTCAACACACCTGATATTCTGCTAACACGTCTTGGACGGTTCGATACATTCGGATTCGATTCACTTCCACTTCTTGCCACGTTAGCTGACATTTCATCCTTGATCTCTCTGCAGCCTAATATTCCATTAAAAATAAGTCACACGACTTCCTGATAGGCGCAAATATTCCCCACTCACCGCCATTTGCTTGACCGTATTGTTCGCCATTTCTTCTTTTCGATGACTATCCGATGATGGGAGCAACCAGCTCACGAGTTTCCGATTGTGGATCGATTTCAACGCTGCGGTTCCTGATGCTCTTTCTGTCCGCGTTGACAGTGTAGTTGAGAATTTCGTCTTCACTGGACTATCCGTGTCTTCCAACTGCGAAATACGTCGATGATACTGATCCTCCAGAAGTGTACTGGAAAACCCAGAGTTCATCGCAGCTGAAAACGCAGCAGAAGCCTCACGAAAGTTCTTATCAAAGGCACGGTAGTCTTTCCTATACGCATCTTCTTGGGCCTACAAGAAAGAAGCAAAGCTGTCAATTGTGACTCAAAAGCTGAAGATTTGGAGTACCTTGACGTCCTTCTTGGCATTATTGACTCGACGTGTTAGGTTTTGCGCTTTTTCAGTGTTGCACTCGTACAAAATCTCGATGGGTTGCAGTACATCTTCTTCCAGATTCTTGGCGAGTTGCTGGTGTTGCACACTTGTGTTGAGGTACTGTGATCGGAGACTTGCCATCGCGGTTTTCATCGTGCCGTGCTCCCTCCCACCGAGGTGCGAGTGTCTTGCCATCCTGTTGAGCTCTTGTGCATATGTCCTTTCCAGGTTAATTCGACTCCTGAGCATCACCACCAAGTTCCCGTGCGAAATGAGATCAGACGCACAAGCAGCACGAACGTCGTCTAGATTGAACACCAAATCGGTCGCGAACGCGAGATCGGGAGGCGACTCTAAGCCAAGAGCTGACGTTTGGACCGCCGGGCTGGCCATTGCAGTCTGTAAGAGAAGGATACAATCTTTTCTCACCTCTGTTCAGACTTAGTTGCCTTTCTTAGGAGCTCTTCACGAAAATAGCCTGTAAATTTCGACGTGGCAAAAAAAGAGTGATGGTGCTGCAACTTAAATGACCATCATTCTATCGAGTAGACGTTACATTTGTTGAGATGACTAGTCACACTTTGCCACTTTTTGGCAACACTTTTTTGCAAGATGCAAAAGCAGAAGGAGACAGCGATATCGTTGCGGAACGTAGACCCCAGGACGTCTCTAACCAGGTCGCTGTCGAGAAGAAACAACTCGTTGGAATCTTTAGGAACACGAGGGGATGTAAGCAATCTAAGCCGGAGCGACCTCATCGCCTCATGGACGCCGACGTGTAGCCTCGACAATTGGGGGTTCACTCGCCATCGACGAACTCGCCGAAACTATCTCAAAAGTATCTTGTCGAGGGAATAACCGTGTAGGAAGCGACTAAACTGTATAGTGGCATCCAAGCGAGCGATCTCAAGGAAAATGGCAGTGATGCACTCCCACAAGCCACTCCACCCTGTATTCAACAATATCCACGATGATCGTGAGCATAGTGAAGAAAATAACAGTGATAGTGACGGTAGCGATGACGGACTTGGACCAGGAGTGGCCGATGTTCGGCACCGTGCGCAGTTTTTCAAGTCTTTGATTGGTCCCACGACGTACGAAGATGGTGGCTTAGTGACAAAAGGCAACGTCGACCATCGAGGAATCACGCCACACGTAGTCTTCTCAACGACGCATACACCCCCAAGTGTGGCCAAGAACCCAGTCATTACCTGTCACCAACCAGTAACGTGTGGGTTTTGCAGCTCCACGAACCTTTCGTGGGTGTTGCGTTGCTCGTTTTGTGGCTCTGCCAGAATGAGCGACGCCCCGAGATTAAAGTATTTGATCGACATGATACTGAGCATCGACCCTCGAATCAAGCCCGACCTTGTTCGTAGAAAAAAATATTATTCTCACCTGTAGTTATCACAATCTTACATTTTCTGGTTACAGTTAGCGAAGCGGATTCTTGACTACGCGAAATTTGACCGTGTGGCTTTAAAAGCCGAGGCCACATTCAAACAAGCAGGTCTCGTTCGTGCTAAGGCTGCTATCATGATGATGAACCGCACAGTCTCGACTTTACGATTCCAGATCACGCGAATGGTTTTCTTGGCCTGGAAGAACGCCAAGGCAGCGGGGCTTCGAGAACAGGCGCTCATCCAGCGATGCATCTCTATCAAACAAGCGCAGACGAAGCGGAAATGCAGACAAGATGCCTTCTCAGTCTGGAGAGGCTATGTCGCTCGAGTCTCGGATGAACGGATGCAGCGCTTTCAAGTAGCATTCAGGAGGTATGGATGGACATTATCCGGTGGCGAGGACTTCGATTCTTATATTGTTTTTTGTTGTTGCCAGAAATGAATTAACGAAACTGCGGCGAATTTGGGGGAGTTGGCGATCATTTTTGCGTCTTAGGGGCAAGGAGAAGGTCGAGGAATTGCGTCGTCACTTTGAAGAAGAATTGTAAGTAAAACATACGATATCGAGTGATACTGTGAAAACTAATATGCATTTTTTATCATCGTTTAGACGTGACACGCCACTGGAAGCGCAAAAGGTAAAACTGGCATTTCAGCATAATTATTCATTGTATTCTCCTCATTCGCGTTGTCGTTCTACAGGAGATTGATCGCTTAAAAGAAGTTCAGCAAGAAACGTTAAAATTGGTCTTCACCGCTGGGGATTCCATCTTGGAGCTACTTCAAGTTTCGCTCCGAAAAGCTGATCACAGTGTCTTAAGTACGTTATTCTACTACACCGCCACTTGCACTACTAACCACATTGTGTCGGATCTTAGAAACACTTCAGCTAGTTCAAATGTACCCGTCGACAGCTGGTGAGTTCTTCGAAACTGCACATGGAAACGAGCTCCTCGATGCGTTGAGTAGCGGACATGCCATGCCTCAGATCGACGGCTTTGGGCTTGACGATGAAAAGGATGATGAAACGATGAAACAACTTTTGGATAAAACACTGGAAAAAGTCGAACACTCGCCTCCGTCTGATAGTTTGATGCAATGGTTCAACTTCCAACGTCGACGTGGGGCTGAAATGGGAACAATTATCGACTCACCCACTAGAGGAACTTCCGATGGCAATGAGAAACCCTCGAGTGCCAAGACGAAAAATCGTTTGAAAGACAAAAAGAAAGAGTTCAAACCCCTTAAATATTTACAGGATCTCAGAGCAGTCATAGCGAGTCCAGGTGTCATGCTCAAGTTACTGTGCCACTCTTCGTTTGAAGCACAAGCAGAGTACGATCGAATCCGAAGTACTGAGTTAACCAACACTGCAGCGAATGTAGCAGCTGAGAATTCAACGACCGCGACAACGTTGTCGCCTTCTGCCCAAGTCCAGTTGAGATCCTACTTTAAGATCGTCCCGAAGATACTTAACCTGCCACCAGATATTGTGACTCGAGACAGCTTTGTACTAAACGACTTCGACTCGCTGTACGCCTACGCAGTGTACCTGTATCTCTTTCATCCAAATTATGTTGCACCGGGAATGGATCTGTCTCCAAGATATCATCTCAGCTACTCGTTTCTCACTCCGCAATGGCAAAAAGTCAAGACTTCGTTACAAGAGAACGAGTGCGATCCCTTCGCCCAGCAACAATTTTACATTTTTCTAAGCAAACTCAAGCGGATCAATCTGCAATTCTTGCGCTTTATTGACATTTGCAAGGCAGTTCGACATATTGCCAGTTGGCACGAACGGTGTGTCACTCGAGAAGCGTTTAACGATTTTTCACGAAGAGTGTTGTGCAAAGATTCGAATATTTCAGTGTCACTCGAGAAAGAAACACTGGCGTCGTGGGTATCTTTACCAGCGTCAAAACTCCTGTCCATTTGCGACGGGGAGGACGAATTCCGCAAAATTGAGCAAGTGTACAAGGATAATGTTCTCGACTTGATCAAAATCTTCCGAATTTATGGCAGTGCAGCCGGTGGCAAGGGAATTCTCGAACAGGAATTCCTCAAAGTCATGACAAAAGCTGGTGTCACCGACAAGAAGAACATTTTGAGGTCGCACTTACAGCTGATCTACCAGCAATCACGCCAATCCAACGGAGGCATCTCGGATACTTCCAATACTGGAGTTAGCATCTCGGGACCAGCAACAGAGGGCGAGGAAGAGGTGGAAGATCGAGGTGCAACTCCGAACGAGTTTTTCGAAGCGCTAACTCGTGTGGCATACCACAATTATCAAAAACGGCGGGAATTTATGGGTCAAATTGCCACAATGATGAATATGGGGGACGAGGTTAGTATGGAGACGATCAACGGCTCCGGCTCACTGCTCTTGTGTGTGATGGACCTGGTTGTGGACAAAATTGTTCCTTTGACGAAGAAATTCCAGGAACAAGGACTGACGTTCAAGAAGCAAATGATTTACCCTGACGTGCAACACGTTTGCAAGGCTCAAGAGAAAAAGCTAAAGCGAATTTTCAGTTCGTATTCTCAGAGAAACAAAAATTCGCAATCGCGTGGCAAATTACTCGATTTAAGCGATTTTGAAAGTTTGTTGAAAGACAAAAAACTGATCGATGCGTTGTTCCCGCACGGGCGAATAAAGCAACTTGTTGCGTTCGTGCAACAAGACGGAGAAATCGGGAGTACAGCCACAAGTATCAACGGATACGATGCCGACAGTGAGTTTGTCTTTTCCGAATTCGTCGAGGCACTCGCGGCAATTGCCGTTTATCGCAACGCCAATCCGTATCTCCCGTTCGCGAAAAAGCTGGAAACATTTTTCGAAGAGTACTTCTAGTAAATTTTAGCACTGCGCGGACAGCCCCACTTCAACTATTCGACAGTCAATCACAGTCTCCGGTCCCAGTGTCACACCGGGGGGCTAACAACCGCTCAACTTCTCCTCCATCTTCAAAACTTCCTGGCCAGAATGAACTTGACTTGCGTTTCGTATGCAGCCAGCCCACCTCTTTCCATGCTGCAGCTACCAGACTGGAGCAAAAGTATTTGCGTTGAGATCTGGTCGCGTCCGTGCCCTCAGGTGATGACGGCGTTGAGCTAGTGCTACTACCGCCAGTATTGAACAAGCCGTCGTCGCCTTCTTCACACGCACTGGTCGAAACACGAACCGAGTTGAAAAGATTGCGGTCCGATTCTCCAGTGGAACGTAATATCCCGAAGATGCTGTAGGGATTGCCGTCCACACAGCGGACAAACTCACGCAGTGTTTCAGTCAGCTCGGGAGTGCGTTCACTTGCGATTTTCCGCACAATTATCGTGTTGGACACTTCACGTGCATACGCCATAAGTCGTTGCTTTAAAGAGTACACTTGGATACCCTCGGACGTTGCCTCCATGATACGTAAGAGAAAGCGTGACTCACCTGGTACTACGATACCAACATGATCGTATTTTGATCCAGTAAACTGTAGCAAAACAAAACAAAAAATGAGTTTTTAACCTCTCGACAAGTAGTAGCCTTTAAACGCACCTTGCGTTGCAGTCGACTGGCTCCAAATCGACACGAGAACATGATAATGTCACCAACAGCGACACTATCATGCAGTGACGTCACATGTATCACATTTTTTGCACTGTGGCCGAGTTCGGGGTCGCGCGAGGTGGACACAACACCTAGAAACGACATCAACAACACGTCGGTGCTGGCAATCGGGTGCAGTAGCAGTTGCTTCAGAAAAGCTTCCAGTTGTCCTTTGCGATGGTTAATGAACACGCCTTCCGTCGGCGTAAAGACGTGTTTGGGCGGCAAACCAGGCAACGTAGTACCGGGATATTTCCGCTTCAACTGATTGTGCAACGCGTCGAACTCCTTGTAGCGCCGAGCGAGTTGCCATGTCGTGCCGTTGAAAACCACGTCGATAACGTAGCAAGTGTACGCGCGCTGGGACAGATCGCTGATCTTGTTTTTGGTCCCGACAATTGCCAAGTCAAGCGTAGGCGGTGGCATTCTGTTCATTGGAACCAACTTGAGGTCGATTTTTCGACTTGCGCAACCCAGAATATAGTGGCTAATGGACTGCTGTTCATCTTGAAGCCATTGATCGCCAATATCAAGATGCAACACGAAGCTGTCGGCATCACGTCGGAGCGTATGTAGAAGGCCAGGCGTCGAGAGTTTGTCCTTATTTTCTGCTCGATGAAGATCGGCTTTCATCTGCCGAATTGCATCCAATTTGACTTGACCAACACGCACACTTTGTTGCGAAGCCTCGCTAATTGGCACAATAGTCGACACGCTACGAGACGTTTAGAAACACAATTAATAATTTTTAATTGAAACATAATTGAATTAAACAGACCTGAAGCCACTGTCATCTTTCGCTGTGATTCGTAGGATCATGAGCGACACAGAACTCCGCACATTCTCAGCTTGCGGCTAGCAAGAGACTGTCAGACTTAATTGCGTCTGTATTTTCACTTTTTAGCACTGACCTGCGTCGCTGTTGGGCGAGGCCTTTGCGACAGCAACTGTGCTGATCGCAGCGCATTCTCCTCGGACCAAGACACCGGACTGGACAGGCGATTCTCCTCATCGCTGTCTTCGGACCCGCTGGACGCGAATCTCAGGAATGCTGCGCCTGCAAAGACCTCTTTAGTCCCAGCATCAATAATAATAATTATCATTTCCTTACCTTCTTTCATCTCGTGCGTCGCGTGCAGCTTGGTAGCGAGTGACAGACAGTGCAGCCACTCGTCCCTTTGTTCCATTGTGGCCGTGGCGAACTGGAGCTGCAGTGTCTTGGTTTCTACTGTGAATTTGAATCTGGCCGCGCAATGCGATTGGCTGTAGCTTCCGCGACGAACTGTTGCCTCCTTGTGCACTTTGATGATGTCCTTGACCAGACACAAGTCCATCCAAAGTTTGAGCGAGTTACGACGCCGCCGAGGTGTCCCGGTGTCAGCGTCCGGGTCAACTACCAGCGCGTGGCTGAAGAGCAGCAGCTTGATGGCCAACCAGCCACCGTATTGCGCACTGAATTGCCACAACTCGCCGCGATGTAGACACTCAGGACGCTCCATGAAATGAGTTGTATCTATGACTTGGACTTTGTATGCATTAGACATATTGGAAAAATGGGGCCGTTGACAATGTTACCCATTTTTTCACGTATACCTATCTAAAAATCGGTTACGTCTTGCATGTTTCTTTGTGTAAAGAAGGCAGCCCGTGTAACAGGCTTTTCCTTTTTGACAGGCTTGGCGAGAAACGACGTAATGGACTGCGTGCCTGTCGGGGCATTCGCCTGATAGAAGCAAACTAAGGTGAATTTTGCAACAACAAACTTCAATTTGCTCAAAATCTCACCTTCTCGAGATCTTTGTCATGTGGCCACTCGACCTTCACAGCCTTCTCATTGAACGGCTCGACAGTTCCCCAGCTGAAGCGGATAATGTTAGGGAATACGAACACTTGGTCCATGTGAGTTGATAGCCACGCTTTGGTTCTGTTCAAAACACAAACATGTTTTTTTAATCGTGATCCCATTTCTCTCGCATTTTAATTATTACGTACTTTGGGTCGCTGGGATACCCGGAGCCAAAATCCGTTGGCAGTTCGAGTGCTGGACTCTCCCACATCCAGTCGCTGATCACTCGATCGCGTGTCACCTTGGCGGCAATACTCGCCGCACTCACAACCTACACACAGCTTCGTCAATACCTCGATTCGACTGCATCACTGCAAAATCTATTGACTTTTCCGCACCTTGAAAAGACTGTCGGCTTTCTTTTCGACGCGGAACTCGATGGTTCCGTTGAAGTGTTTCGTTAAGAAGCTCTGATACCAGCGTGGGTCGCCTACAGTGTCCACGAACACCTTCTTGACCACAGCGCCCTTGTTTTGTACTTCGTTGATGAGTTGGATGGCCGCATCGCGTGACATTTCGTTTAGGTTGCTTGTCTGGCGCTGCATCTTGTCCGAGATCTCAGCCGCCGAGATCAAGCGAACGATCCACCTGTCAATGAAGTATTCTAAGCATCGTTTTCCCTGCTGGTGTATTGCAAAATGCCTGTCACGCACCCGAGCCCCTCGGTGGACTGCATCTTCTCGAACAATTGCGCTCGACTCTCGGCGCTCAGTGCCTTGGAGTCGTCGAAGCCCAACGCGCACATAGCGTCGTTCACAGCTACAGGCCAGTACGCGGCGCCGTAGACCATGGGACCCATGACCGGACCGCGACCAGCCTCGTCGATTCCTAGCATGACAGGCACTCCATTGAGGCAACTGGCGGGGCAGTCGCTAGCAAGCAGCAGAGTACGCTGCAAGTTGGGTCGGTCCGGCATCTCTTGCCTTGCTCGTTGACTTTTTTTGGCGGGAAGACTGATAGGAAAGGTGATTGGTTGAAATATTTGTCCGATCAAGGAAGAGATTGTAGTTGAATGTTGCAGTAGTCAGATAGTATATGTTTTAGAGCTCCCTTGTTTAAGCAGGTTCAGATGCTATCGCTCGGAAGGGATCAGCGGCGGGTTGCGGTCACGCGAGTGCGAAATCTTGTACCTAAAGAAATTGCCATCTTTCTCGCGACGCCCATTTATCGACGTACATGTATTAATACAGCTGACGCTTTGGGGTGGAGCCGGGGTTACAGTACTTGCAGCACTTAAATCCGCATTTCAACTCAACTTTTTTGGCGAGCGTCGATAAAGATGGTCTCGTGTTGATCGGAATTTTGGCGTGAGCAGCGTGCCAGCTGGATGAAGCGTGGCACCCGCACCAACAATACTTGAAGCGAAGTGAAGATGTTCATTGGTACCGCATGGAGAGAGAAAGGGAAGATCGGCGAGCTGGTGCGAAGTAATTTTTGATCACACACGATGTATAATACATATTCATTCTCGAGACAGGATATTGGCACGCTGGTGGGCTTTCGGATATACGAGTCATGGGTGGAAATGCTCAGTTCATTCCAGCGCAGACAGCCCTCACCGACTTGTAATGGGCACCGGAACTCGGCGGAAATTGCCTTGCATCGGTGGGTGCTGAGCTTCGGCGAAGCAACACTAGCAAAAAAGCGCCTGTGAGTTTTACAGTACATGTACAAGGTGAGGCAACACAGCGTAACGGTCTAAATGGACTTTCGCAAAGGCCACCGTGCAAGGCAAGTCTCAACCGACATGAATATCGAAGGTCCTACGTCAGTGAAAGTATTTGGGGCGCAAAATATCCGATACTTCAAGTCCTCGCTCTGAATCTGGAAAATCAATGTCGGTACAATGAACAAACAGCGATCACGCCGCAGGGAGAGCACGCTTTGTGAGTTGGGTTTACTGTACCGATCTGCGTGAGGCAGGCCCAGCGTGCAGGCAAATATTAGAGACAAAAATTGCGTCCAGCTGTACTGATCTGGACCAGCCTAAACTGCATCCTGGCTCACCAGATTGCGCTGGCAAACATTTTGGGCTGAAGTGTCCCCAGCTTAGTTGAACTCGGTTTACTGTCACATTACCAAGACTTTGGAGCAAAAAGAAATAGCTACTGTACACACTCTGCTGGCGGCTCATAGTAGAGCTCCTTAAAATTTGCGGCGGCCTGGAGTGGAGCTCTTGGTGCGGATTTTCCCGAATTTGCCACGTTGCAGTTTGCAACGTTTGAATTGTGCAACGCAACGACCATTTGCTTTTGGCCAATCATAGTCTTCAAGTTATTTGTACACCAATAAAATATCGCATTTTAAGCCTAGCATCAAATACGGAATGAAGTCAGAAAGGCAGGGTGGAAGAGGCGAGTCGGGAAGTAATGCACGGTCCTCTTATCGGTCTCGGCGCTGCCCACAAGCCAGCGCTGCACTTCCTAGCTTGGGGTCTTTACGTCGGTGCTCTTCATTCGCGAAATCTTCGAGCGACAGACATCCGTGTGGACCAGTGGAACCAGCAACAGGATGCCGAACAACAAAATGTCTAGCTCATCTATCAGCCGGCGTATGCGGCCGATCCGCGCCACGCCTGAAGCTTTGAAGGCGCAAGTCTCACAGCACGTGCCACAGCTTGTGGTGCGCCCCACTAACCACGGCGGCGAGACGCTCCAGGTAGCGATGGGCGGCACTGCCATCGAGCGCTCCATGGTCAACGTAGGCTCTATCGCAGTGTACCACATCAAACCTGTGATCTCTACGGATAACAAGCTTGGCAAGAAGACCACCATCTTTGCGGTGCACGTGCAGAACGCTATTACTGGCCGCAGTTGGGTCGTGCATCGCCGCTACTCGGACTTCATGATGCTGCGTGGTCTCATTGCTGAACACTTCAAGCTCTTCGGCGACGAATTCCCTCGTATTTCGGGTTTAATCGACGATCTCTATTTCCCCAAGAAGCACAAGTTCCGTCACAAGATGGGCAAAGTGGTCGAGCACCGTTGTGACGCCTTCCTTGAATACCTCATGGGCTTGCACCGCCTCCTCATCAGCCAGAACTACCTGGTTCGACGCGACATTAGCCCCATCGGACTGTCCATCCTACGTGGATTTTTGGGTAGTGCAATTGTTCAGGACCCGAGTCACAAGGCTTATACTTTCCACAAGGCCATTTTACCCATCGAGCTCAACCCGGCGGATCGTACGCCTATTAACCAGTGCGGATCACTCACTACGGTACTGGAAGACGACGGAGAGTACGAGGTGGAAGTTGAGGATGTTGAACCTGAACCGGAGGCCGACGTTGCATCGCGTGACGGATCGACGGAAGGCACGGAGGATTCTCAATCGGAAGATATGAGCGACGGTGAGGACACCGAAGAGGAGCTGATGCGCATTTCTGAGATCGTGGACCGACGACGCTCTTACAAGTACGCCCGCAACCGCCGCGTGCTCCTCTTCCTTCGCAAAGACGGCGTGTCCGATGGCTCTACAGCTGTAGACTCGCCTACCAATTGCGATGATGCTCCCCCTTGCACTCCGCGACCACGCGACCGAATCCACACCGATAAAATGTACGTCCGCGCTTCCGAGATGCTGCGACCGTCCGAGATGGCCACTCAGCCGATATCGGCATAAACGACATCCCTTCGCCGCTACCGCCTTCATCACACTAAACAGACAGCAACGGAACTGATCTGCACGCTGTGGCCAGCACCGTGAATAAGTAAAGCAACTGAACTAAATGAGCGCCGTGACACCACCAACTGGGGGTGGTACAGCTGCGACGCGGACGCGAACTGAAGCTCCACGACGCACATCTCAATCCATAACACCCGCCGCTCTCGATGCATTTAGATTATTTAAAATCATGAACGTTCGCTGTAATTTATTCTTCGAACTGATACCGTAAAGTAAATTGTACACTTAGTGAAAATAGTTTTTACAGAACTGTGACACCGAAATTTTTCTTATTTCATCCAATCCTGTTGCGAAATTGTCCATTATCGGAAGCGCGCCACTCCATTGAAAAAACTGGCGGCAAAACCTCAATCATGGCTCTGGGCGTCAAGGAAAGCGTGAGCGGCAAGCTGTACTGCTTAACTGCGGACGGTACCGAGGAGCGCGTTTGTGGCGGTAAAGGCGCCGTGTACCTGAGTGGCCCAAAAGTTGCACTGCGCTGTTGCGGCAAGACGAGCATCGTAGCCACACGCCAGACCAAACAAAGCGTGTTGCGGCAGGGCGACGTGTTGCTTCTCGGTCTTCGCGACGCTTTTTACGCTAATGGGACACTGACCAAGTACGAAGTAGTAGACACGGAGGCAGCGCCGCCCAAAGTCGCACTTAACGTGCTTCCTACGCGTGTACCGAGCATTACCATGAGCTCGGCCGCTTCCAGTCGCCCTAAAGCTCGAGCCAAACGCGCTCCAGCCGCAGCAGGAACGAAACTCGTGTCTTCCTTTTTTGCCAAGAGAAATAGCAGCCCAAGTCCCAAGAAACAGGCGACAAAACACGAGAACAAAGAGCTCGTCGATGCAGAAGATGCCACCGCTTCTAGCACCGCCGAAGACGCCGAAGAAGAGGAAGAAGAGCTCGCACCTTCCTCTAGACGGCGTGGCAAACGCACGAGAGCGATCGTAGAGTCCGAGGACGAGGCAGACACCAACAGCTCTAAGCTGCAGGACTTGACCGTGGACTCGGACGTGTCATCACCTAGAGAAGACGATATTTTCGAAAAAGATCTTGAAAAATCAACATCTGCAGCGAAAGACTGGATGGCTGCATTCGGTCGCAGTGGCGTCAAGAAGCACAAGGCCGAGAGCGATGGCTGGAGGCGTATAAAGGACGAAAAACTTAAGAAACGGAAGGACCCGAGCGCATCCAGACGGTTCACCCACGAAGACAGGAACGATTTCGACGAATCAGACGAAGACGAGCATTATTCTCGCTCCCATGACGAGGTCGGACAGCTATTGGAAGAATGTGAAGGCATCGCCCGGAAATTACGCCAATCAGTGAGGAATTGGTCGGGAAATGCCTCGAAATCGGCGTCTTCCAGTCCGTCCACGTCGCCTGGGGACGCGACAGATGAAGAAGAGGCGGTGCACATGTCGCTGGCGTCGATAAATGGCGGAGATCGACGCGTAGTGACGCAGAACGACATCCCAGATATCTGCGAGACGCTCGAACTGAAGCCGTATCAAGTGGTTGGCGTTAATTGGCTGTTATTGCTGCACGAGAACAAGGTGTCGGGCGTCTTGGCCGATGAAATGGGGCTCGGTAAAACCGTGCAGACGATCTCGTTTCTGTTACTTCTCAAGTCGCTGGAAGAGACCGACAAGAGTGCAGGTGGTCCGCACTTAGTTGTCGTCCCAGCCAGTGTGTTGAACAACTGGACACGCGAGTTCTCGTGGATCGCACCGAAGCTGCGTATCGTGACGTATCACGGCTCGAAAGACCACCGTCGAGAGCTGGAAGACACGCTAGATAGCGACGACTTTGACGTCATGCTGACGACATACGCGTACTTTGAACGTGATACTTGTCAAGAGGAACGCGCCTTCCTGCGCAGCTTCCAGTTTGGCTACATGATCTTGGACGAAGGACACAGTATCAAGAACTCGAACACGTCGCGGTTTAAGCGCATCACGGCGCTACGTGCACGTACGAGACTGGTGTTGAGTGGCACGCCGATCCAGAATAAACTGAACGAGTTACTGACGATGCTGAGCTTCCTCATGCCGCGGATGTTCGACCATGGCTCGGATGAATTGCTGAGCTTCTTCGACGGCAGTGAACAGAAGAAATGCGAAAAAGTCCGCAAGATCTTGGCTCCCTTCATCTTGCGACGTGAAAAGCAATACGTGTTGAGTCAACTAGTGCCCAAGACGGTGTCTATCGAGCTGGTCAAGGTGGGAGACGAGCAACGCAAGGCATACACCGAGTTGCTGGAGTCGGTAGTCAAGCGTCGAGAGGCTCAAGCGGCACTGAAAGCTGCAGCGAAAGAACGCAAGAAAAACAAGAGCAAAGACCACAAGGCAGAGCGTCGATTGTGGGACTTAATGGGGACGTACGCGACGCCATCGGGAGGCGAACCTACGGCCATGTCCATCTTTACGCAGCTACGGAAAGCAGCCAACCATCCCGTGTTACTGCGCCGACATTTCGTGTCGGATCAAGTACTGGAGACCTTGAGTCGATGTCTGCATCGAGCTGAAGCCTTCGGCAACCAATGCTCGATCAGTCGCGTGCGTCAGGAGCTCGAGTCGTACAGTGACTTTGAACTGCACGACTTGTGCGTACAGTACGAAGCGATCGATGAGCTGCGGCAACTGCAACTGCCTATGGAAACTCTCCTGGCTTCTGCTAAGTTCGATTACTTGCGGACGTTGCTGCCGAACCTTCAGAAAGACGGACATCGTGTGCTTATCTTCTCGCAATGGACGAAACTCTTGGACTTGTTGGAAGTACTCATGAGTCATATGGAATACCGGTATTTGCGGTTAGATGGGTCCACGGATGTCCAGGAGCGACAAGGACTCATCGATACGTACAATGAAGACAAGAACATCTTCGTCTTCTTACTGTCGACGCGTGCAGGAGGCCTCGGGATCAATCTTACCGCTGCCGATACGGTTATTCTGCACGACTTGGACTTCAACCCGACGGCCGACGAGCAAGCTTGTGACCGTTGTCATCGTATTGGACAGACGAAGCCTGTGTCGATCTACAAGCTTGTGTCGGAGAACACGGTGGACCAAGATATCTACAAACTCGGAGAGTCCAAGACGGAGCTCAATCACAAAATTCTGGACAAACTCAATGCGCACAGCGACGGGAAGAAGAAGACGAAAAAGTCGGGCGCTGTCACCGTCGAGATGTTGCTGGCAAGCGTCATCTCGGACTATAAAAGCGCCCAGGTGGAAAATTGAGCAAGAGTAAAAGCTGGATTTAGGATAAATAGAGTCGAGTGGCTACAAATTCATGTAAAATACTTGAAATAATCGGGGTTGGGATAATTGTTGAGCATGTCATTCCCTACTTCGGCGAATCGCTCCCTCTTTTGTCTCCAAACTGCCAATAAGCATAAAAAATAAGAAAAAAATATGACGAAAGAAAATGTTATCGTACCAAGCGACTAGAATTTGTCGAGCTTGAATTCTGTGCGTTAGGAACAAACTATTTAGAAAGAAATAGTGTTAGTCTTGACATACAACAATCATTGAGTCAAGTGGCTACGTACAATGCTGTTGCTCTCGCGACGTGCCATTTCCTCGTCGGATTCCTCGGTCAAAGGAGGAAACGGTGAAACATCACGAAGGTTGTACGACACGTCATCGCTGTCGTAGTCGAAGTCGTCGTCTTCCTCGTCATCTTCGTAGTCGTCGGCAGCTCCCAATCGAAGACTCAACAATTCCGTTGTCTGTCGGATCTGTTCGACCATTGAAGTGATTTGAGCCAAGGCGGACGGGATCAAATCGAGTGGTACGTCAGTGCGTCGTGGACCAGAGTCGATCGTCCGTCGAGGACCTGTGGTCTCCGGTGTGCCACCAGACTGCGAGGCTTGCCGCGACAAACCAGAATTTATTCGATGCGTCGTTGTCGGTCGCTTGGGGGACAAGTTTCGAGCACTGGAGCCGCTAACAGGTCTGGAATACTGAGCCAAGTCTCGCGTACTATCTCCTTTAAAATTCGATTCGAGAAATGATTTGTCATGAGAGTCTTCGCGTTGAGAAGGACGGATACGGGCTTGTCGAGGAGCAACGACACGTGAAAAACGGCGGACGGGTTTGGAGGCGCGGTCAGCTATGTCTTTGAGTTTATCTCCCAGTTTCTTCGCACGATAGATGGTACGTAGTGACACGGACATTCGACGCTGTTTAAGTGACTTTTCCACGACCAAAGTGAGCTGGTTGTGCACTTTTGCCTTCTCAGTGGGGGACTGGATGTTCATATTGTCAAGTTGGCGTTTAATCACTGTCCGCTTCATACGCTCACCGAACTCTGGATATTCCGCTGCGATCTCGTTAAACGCGTGCTTGCTCAGTACATTGAGGTCGCAGATGTTAACGGCACGGACAGTGTTGGTGCGACGCACGTCGATGACTAGTGCTGTCTCTCCGAAGAAGTTCCCGTCTCGTAAATAAATCCGCTTTTCCGAGTTCTCTGGGTCAGGAACGAGAATCTCTACGAGACCTTTGCGGACGATGAACATTTCTTTGCCAATATCATCGCAGTAAATGATCGTGTCGCCTGGCAAATACACTGCTGTTTCCAATGCAAGACAGACTTTGCCTAAGAACCGCGAGTCCGATCCAGCGAAGAATGGTACCGTCTTCAGTAAATCCTTGTATAAATGCAACGCGATGGTCGTTTTAAGCGGCTTAGAAATACCGGGCTGATTCAACAGCATCATGTCGGAATATGCACGTTGCTAAACCAAATGGGTAAGGAAATGAGAAATCCTTAATAACAAATTATAAAAAGTAGTGACAACTTACGTTGATCCAGAGATAATCGTAATTCCTGCGAACACGATGCTGCAGCTCCTCTGGTAGTTCGTAGTACTTCATTTCGGCTTTAATCATGTCCATCCGATTCCGGAATTGAGCTTTTTGCTGGTCCCAACTCATGAGTAGAGCAAGGACATTGCCAAAGAGGAAGGATGAAAAAACTGTCCCTAACATGAACACGGTGATACTCATGTAGTAGAGCCCGATGTTGGCGTTCACCTCGGGATTTTGTAGTCTTGCGATGCTCGCATATGTCGTGCTTTCGCCAATTCCCAGGAACATGAGTATGATGATATGGACGCATTGGACGTACATTGGTGCCAACTGCAAAAAAAAAAATGAAAATAAATGAGATCTCGGTCTAGTTCTCAAATTTTGAGAATTTTCGAACCTCGTCTTCTTTGCAGACCACTTCGCTGCGAGGACCATAGCATTCGTTGAATAAACTGGCCCATAGACATGCGAAGAGGTGCAAGCCCATGGCAAGGCCCAGAAAGCTGACAATGAGATTGTAATACTTGGCGTATTCGCGGAGATATTTCAGTAATCGACCGATCCGAAGCAGTTTGGGAATCTTCTGAAGTTTTACAATTTTCAGAGATTTGCCCGAAGATTGGACAAAGAGCACCAAGGGGAAGTTGGAGATGAGATCCACGATGAACCACGAGCGGAAATACTTGCGCGCGACTCGCTTGGGATCCATCACGACTTCACCATTTGAAACGATACCCGTTCGCAATGTCATGACCATATCTGATCAGTAAACGGGACAAGTTAGCACATAGACTGATACTGTCCCTAATGATGGTATACCTGTGATGAAGTAGACATCAATAAAAGTGTTCATGCCGTTCAAGTGGCTCCAATCGACAAACTGAAAGCCGATGATGAACGGAATCTGTAAGAGCACAAACGTCAGTTGCTGAAAATTGATCACTAGGCCACTTTATCATTTTTGCAACTGTCATACCATCACACAGACATAGAGAACCAAACAGACAGTTGACACTTCCCATGCTCGGCGCAATTTCGAGTTGGGGTGGATCATAAAGCGGCTCGTGTTTAGTTTCCGGTCGTGGTAGATATCGATCGAGTGTGCATTCATCAACTTGGCCATCACCGCCAGCTTGCCGATCACCTTCCAGCTTCGTCGTTTGTCGGTCTCTTCCGTAAACTCTATCTCTTTGATCGTCTCGATGGCTGGATCATTCGCTTGCCGTGTTTGGTTTCGAGTCACATCGTTGATCTCTACACCACATTCAGTCCCTCCATTAGAGATCTCAGAGGCCATGGGCCCCAAAGACGTATCGGTTGTTGCAACTGGACTATTTTCATCCGACGTTGCAACTTCGGGAACTAGCGGGGACACGAGTTTCGCCACAAGTGCTGCTTCCTCCTCGGGCGTGGGAATTGCATCGTCAGCTGTAGCTTCTCTGATCGCGGTCTCTCCCTCTGGTACCACACGACTACACGCGCTGATGTCGCTGCTCGGACCTTTCATACTACCCATGCTTTGCACTGCTGCTTTTAGTGCAAAATTGGTCTGGACGATTTAAACACTTTGCCAAGCATATTGGTCGTTGAGCGTCCCTACTTAGCAGGGAGAAGAGTCGTTTTTGCTATCATAAATAGTTGCCCTCCGTCCACATTCTTGAAACGGACCGAAGCACGTTGCGTGCAAGTGCAAAGCGTGCAATCGATTGGGAGTTCTATTATCCTAAGCGTCAAAATTTTTAGCCGATTTACAGAATGCACTCAAACCACTTGACAGGTTTCTGTGCGGCACTGAAGAGACCGTCGCCGTGATAGAAGGTGGTGTCGGCGTGGTTGAGACTTGTCACGTAGAATTGGTCACTGTAATGTTCCCCGAACTGTTCAAGCGGGAGGCCGCCAGCACAGCTCTGGAACTCAACCAATCCGTCGTTCTGCTTGGACTTGTGAGGAAGTGCAGCGCCGAGAAGCCAATACAGAGGCTGGTAGAGCGAAAACAGTCCCCAGAACGCGTTGCTGCACATGGCAGCGTGAACGTGCGTCCGGAAGACTTCTTGGGCCGCCTCGTAGCCCTCGTCCATCTCCGTAGAAGTCAACTTTTCACCTTCATACGCTAGTGACTTTGTAGCTCCGAGCACTGGACATTGGTCTGTCACGTTGCCGATCGCCTCCATAATAACAGTGTGCTCTCCGTCACAGGACTCCAGAGCGTAGTTAGCCCCCATACTTCCTGACATCGGAGGGCTCGTAGCGACCCACGAGCTGCTGTTAGCGAGCGAGCACTTCCCCGTTGCAATGGCTCCTGCCAACATGAGTCCGCCCATCGAGTGCGTGACGACGATAGTGTCGGCAATCTCGGTCGGTGAGCCTGATTCTGTCACGGAAGCTGCGAGGTCGCACATGATCTGCTGCTGGGTGTCATTATTCCATCCGGTCTCCATGGAGTTCCAGACCATGTACTTGAATTCTGTGCAGCACGGAGCGTGGTCTGTCATGTTGCCCCAGTAGGCACTGAACGAGTCCTGAAGTTCTGCTCTCTCGTTGTCAATCCCAAGACCGTGAATGAAGAGACATGGACGTGGCGTTGACTTGCAAGAGCATGTAGTGGCTTCAAGATCGACGCCCGAGTCTAAGTCCAGGCTTCGCGACTCGCTCTCAGGGATCACATCGCCAGTTAGCAGGGCGATGGAGGTTTCAGTGACGGCAGTGGCGTTCACAACACGCTCACAATCGCTGATGGCGCTGCCGGTAAGTTCCGGCGGCGTAATCTCCACCCGGTTCTTTAAATACTTAAGTCTGATCTCCAAGTCACTGCCATAAACGTGAACACCTGAAGAACCAGACGCACAAACGGCCAGGTTAAGTCCTCGGAAGGTGACCTTAAACAGATTTCCCGGCGAACACTTGATCTTAGCACCGTCTAAAGTAGCATTTGCAACTTGCGTAGCGTCGTTGAGCGCCGGTAACATGTCGTTGAGTGGTGGCAGTGCGTTCACTTCGACGCATTCGGATGTTGACGATGAAGCTTGAGTTTGGTCCGTCTCGGAGGTCGTAGTCGTCGAGTAGGCGATACCGTCGACCAGCGTGTACCGGGTGAGGGTCGAGCCTTCGGTGAAGTCCACGTACCCGTCGTAGGTGACGCTTAGACCATCTTTGGACACGATCGGGTTAGCATAAACGTCGAACTCGGGCTGGCCGTTCACTTGCATTGAGTTGCGTTTCAACGTAAAGTGAAGCATCAAAGACGGCCATTCCGTGGTACTGGTACGGAGATCACCGTGAACGGTTCCTTTGCCCTTTCGAGTCATCGAAGCTGTCGTCGAAGTCGTGAATAGAGTGGATGTAATGTAGACGAGTGCAATGCATCGGAGACCCCACATCGTTGCTGTGAGGTAAGCTTGCGTTTCCGACAGGGAAAATGAGTTGTGAGGGGCCGATCAGTGGAAACTTTGGATTTGACCGCAAGTACAGGTGGTCGAGGAGAAGCGAGAGAGAAAGGCAAGAATTGGATGGTCACTGCCAAAATGTGATGTACTATGTTAATCTTCTCTGCATGGCATCACGTTCATCAGAGGTTGGCGTCAGAGCTTGGCATCGCAAGGGCCAAGCTATTCGGCCGCGCAATGCAGTCCTGAACTATGGCTAAAATAAAGTTTTCATTGGAACTAATTTACTTTCAGCACGAGAAATTTCAAAGCAAAAAGCCTGAAATGAACAATACTAGAGTAAAACGGTAATAATGTAGCTTTAATTGTTACAGAACAACGGTTTTGCTGTTCATTTCGGGCTTTTTTGCTTTGAATTCTTCGAAGGAATACGTGCACGGTAAGCTACTTCAAGTATATCTGGCGAGGCGAGTTGCAATTGATATGTACGGTTGGCCTGGAAATCAAACGGAGATTTGCTCACTTTTGATACCTGTGCACACTGTGCACTGCACTGCAGCACTGAGTGGAATCACATCTGTGTCATAGGCAATTTGCCATCAGTGCCTGGATTCCAGGCACTGATTACCGCCGACCAGTCGCGTTGGACCAGCTTGCTGGAGATGAGAAACTCCTCCGGCCGAACCCTGCAACATGCTTGCATAAATTGTCAATGATGTGTCCTAATTGGTGACATAGCGTACAAGTTATTGTACAAAATGTCTTACCATACAAAATATGTTCTGGACCCAATCCTGCATAAGTCGATACATCCCCTTTTACAGGAAAGATAAATCAATGGCCAGATAACTCTCTGAAGACAGACTCATAAAATTAATCACATCTCTTTTTTCTTCCTTCTACTCAAGCTCCTCCACCTTCCTCGCCTCACCTTCAATAGGTTATGAGCTCAACGCAAGCCTCCACCGCTGACGACCGCGAGTTTCCGCGCCTCAATGGCCGGAACTTCATCATCTGGAAGACCCGCGTCACTGCCGCCCTCGAAGGAAAGAACCTTCTCGGCTACGTCGAGTGTATCGACTACACCGGTGACTCCGACTACGAGTTCGACTCCGATGAAGAACTCAACCCGGCACTGTCCGACATGAACGACATGTCCGCCGCGCTTGATGCTGCCGGTGCTCCCAAGGCCGACGAAATGGTGGGCTCCTCACCGAGCGAGTCCTCCTCTGATGCCAGCTCCGCAAGTTCGGATGCACCAACAGCCGGAGACGACGGCGATGTGGAAATGGGGCAGGAGAATCCCCCCGTTATCCAGTCATTCACTGCTCAGAAGCGGGATGAACTGAAGCGAGCAGAGAAGCTGAAGGCTAAAAGCCAGAGGCTGAGCTCGAAAAAGCTTCGACTCAACGAGGCAAAAGCAAAAGCTTTCCTTATCAAGACCATCGATGACCAACATGTTCTCATGGTCAAGGACAAGACTACTGCGTTTGAGATCTTCCAGACGATCGGTAGCAAGTACGAAGGTGCTGCCATCCACGGCGACCCGTATCATGTGCTATCATACCTGATGGCACTGAGGTATGAAGAAGGTTCAGACCTTACGGGGTTCATAATTGACATCGAATCTGCCATGAAGGTTGCCTCCGAAGCCACAAACAGTGTGCTCAGTGACGAACAGAAGTCACTTTACTTGTACCATGCGCTACCTGGAAAATGGAAGCAGCAACTATCGGTCTGGAAGGGTAGCAGGAAATTCATTCCCTACGAAGAGCTAAAGCGTCACATCGAGGCCAAGGTGCAGCATGAACTGGCGAAAACCGCTACACGCTCAAACAAGGAACACCCGAATCGAGGGAAACCCGAAACGAGCAGGCCCTACAGGCTTTAGCACCTGAACCAACCTTGGTTCAAGCTCCCTATTAAGAGAGCAAGGCTCTCATCTCAACGATGAGCTGTACATACTGCCTGCGCACCAACCACGATACTGTCGACTGCTATGTTCTACAGCGCCACCTACAAAATGGTCAGGTAAAGGCAGGAACGGTGCTTCCCGCCAGCTTTAAGCTGAAACCTTTGTCCAATCAGGCTGGACAGCCTCCTTACAAGGACGGTTTCGGCGGCAAGTCACGAATCCAAAATCGGAATGACTACAAGAGCAAGCGGAACAGCAATCGAAACAGAAGCCAGAACGGCAACCAGAAGAATACATCTGGAAAATCCAAGAGTCACAATAAATTCCACGGTCGCCGCAAGGACACCGACTCCGACAACGAGTATGGAATCATAGCCATCACCACTCTGGACCTCAGACAAGAAACAGAGGCTGTAAGTCTCACCGCCCAAGATGCGGAGCATGACCCAGTGTGGACTGTCGACTCAGGCTGCACTCGCCACGTTACGTCCAATCCGAAGTGGTTTGAGAAGCTGATCCCAAGTGCTGGCAGGTCAATCACTGTCGGCGGCAATCACCAGATTTCGATAAAAGGAACTGGTGATGTCAAGATGTCAATCAAGGACACGAAGGGAAAGGAACGAGAAATATCCTTGGCCAACGTGCTATATGCGCCCCAGCTGAAGTTCAACCTACTCTCCGTGCGCCAAGCCGTCGAAGATGATTTCAAAATCAACTTCCCCAACGCCAAGAAGTGCGTTCTGTTCTTCGCTAGCCGAACCAAATTTGAAGCCAAAATTGGTGAAGGGACTCGACTCTACCAGTTTCAAGCGAGCCCGGCAACCTCAAGTCAGGTAGCCCATGTGGCCACTTCAGGTAAGCCTGATAATGTTTTACTTTGGCATAAACGAATGGGTCATCCTAACTTTCGCATTATGCAGGATCTGGCTAAAGCCAACACTGTCATGGACATGGGCCTGAAGGACTTTGATTCCAAGAAAGACTACTTTTGCTCTTCCTGCACATACGCCAAGGCCCATCGTAGCCCATTCAATAAACGTACCGTTGAACGGGCAAAGTTCCCTCTTGAAAAAGTTTATTCTGATATGGCTGGCCCATTACCCGTCCCCACTCTCTCGGGGTGTCAATATTTCTGCCCTTTATAGATGACTACTCACGGTACATGTTCATCTACATCATCGAGCGAAAGTCTGAGCTGTACGAATGCTATGAAGATTTTCGCAAGAAAGCACAAAACGTTTTTCGCGCTGATGTAGGCGAACTCCAGTTCAATGAGAACATACACGATGAAGAAGTTAGACATCTTCAAAGCGACAATGCCCGAGAATATGAGAAACTTGGAAAAATGATTTTTCAGAAGTACAATACGCACGCACAATTTACAAATGCGTACACGCCCCAGCAAAATGGAGTTGCAGAGAGGCGCATGCGTACACTTCTCGAACGAACCAGGGCTTTCTTCATTGATAATAACCTACCGCAGGTTCTTTGGGGAGAATGCGTCAAACACGTTGCTGACCTTCTGAACATTACTCCCAGCTCGGTAACCGATAAGGTCACCCCATATGAGAAATGGTTCAAGCGAAAACCATCCGCGCACTACATCAAAGTGTTTGGGTGTACTGCGTACGCTCACATCCCTGAGATACACCGCACAAAACGAGAACCACGTGCTAAGAAGTGCATGTACTTAGGACTCCCATCAAACAAAAAGGGATATAGACTCCTTGACACAAAAGAAAACCGTATTATCTACAGCAGGGATGTTGTGCTTAGAGAAGACGAGTTCCCACACTTGGAATACCTCAATACACCAGCAATTTCGGACCAAAATGGCCCCGCACCGACGCTATCACCGTTGCTACCAACACCACAATTGCTACCTCCAATAGCCTCACTACTAAAACGCAGCGTCAATGCGCTTGCCGCGGAAGTAGTAGTAAAGATGAAGAAAGTCAAACACAAAACGAGCGCTCAGAACGAGGATGAACACTCGTGTCTACTTGATGATCCACTCGACATTAACGAACGAAAAGAGCACCTCACTCATATCTACGCTCTATTGGCTATCAGACACATATCTGAACCAAAGACGTTCCTAGAATCCCAGAAACTACCAGAAGCACAACATTGGGAGAAGGCAGCCATTTGTGAGTACAAATCATTGATTGACAACAAAACGTGGGTCCTCACAAAACTACCGACAGGGAGAAGGGCCCTACAGTGTCGATGGGTATTCGTTGTAAAATACAATGGAGACGGCAGTATTGACCGCTATAAAGCCCGCCTGGTAATAAAAGGTTTTTTGCAAAAGTATGGCGTTGACTACGATGAGATATTCTCTCCAGTGATCCGCATGGAAGTGCTGCGACTTTTACTGACGATTGCAGCACTCCTTGACCTTGAGATCCATCAAATGGATGTTAAAACCGCTTTCCTGAGCGGATACCTCGATGAGGAAATTTACATGCTGCAACCTGAAGGGTTTACTGTTCGAGGAAAAGAGCACTTAGTCTGCAAGCCTTTGAAGAGCCTATATGGTCTCAAGCAGGCACCTCAGATCTGGTATCTTACCCTGTGCTCTTTTCTTCTCACCATGAAATTCCACAAACTCATCAAAGACCAATGCGTTTTCATTGGATTTGTGGATGGAGCTACATGCTACATTCTAGTCTATGTGGACGACCTCCTCATCATAGCCCCTACGCTTGATATCATTAACAACATAAAGAACGCTCTCAAGCAGCGCTTCAAAATGTCTGATCTCGGTGAAGCTCAATACATCTTAGGCTGGTCAATCGTACGCAACCGTACGGACAAACCCATTTTCATTCACCAAGAGAAGTACGCTACCAAAATCCTGGATCGCTTCTCTCATCTTGATGCAAGTTGGTACACCGCTGATCCCAGTGTGAAGCTGACGGAGGCCATGTGCCCCCAAACGCCAGAAGAAAAACATGAGATGAAAGCGATCCCGTACAGAGAGGCAGTTGGTAGCTTTATGTACTTAATGATGGGAACTAGACCTGATCTCGCATATTTTCTACGAGAAGTCAGTCAATTCCTGGTGAACCCAGAAAAACCTCACTGGAATGCCGTTAAGAGAGGATTGAAGTACTTAAACGGTACGCGCAATCTTGGCATCACCCTTGGTGGAAAGCAAAATCTAGAGCAGTATAAGTCAAAGCATTATCTCACTGCATACTCCGACGCAGACTATGCCAATTGCCCAGACACACGACGATCTGTGGGAGGCTATATCGCATATATGTGTGGAAGCCCAATTTCATGGCAATCGAGAAAGCACCACACCGTAGCTCTGTCCACAACAGAGGCGGAATACATAGCCCTATGTCACTGCATGCAAGAAGGTATTTTCTTAAAGCTTCTTTTAGTAGAGCTTAAACACGAAAGCTCACATGCTATTACCCTATTTGAGGACAATCAAAGTTGTATTAAACTTTCCTACAGCCCAGAACTGCATGGCAGAAGCAAGTACATTGACATTCGGTATCACTTTGTACAAGAAAAAGTAGAGCGAAAAGAATTTGAAATTATGTACTGCAACACCAAAGAAATGGTAGTCTTGAAGTCGGTAAGAGGTGATAGCGAGCTTCGACGTCCGCTTAAAGGTGCATATTGAAAGTCGAACGACTTCTACTGTACTTAGGACCATCTCGTTGAGCTTTCTGCAATACTTCTGGATGTCACCTTTTGAAGCTTTAGCCGCCTCCAGTGCGAACCCCAAGCTGTGATAATGCCAGACCTAGCACCATACAGCTGCAAGATTCAGAGTGGGGTAGGCAACCTGCGGTGAGTTTGTGGATGACCGGTCTCGGGCATATCTACGAGCCGGGTGCTGTCGATCGGTCGTCTGCGTTGGCCGAGGCACTACCTGTTATCTCCTCTGTGCTATTCTTACATCGCGGTCTCGCCGACTTCTCAGTACTACACCTTTTCCAGTCCAATAAGGCCAAGAGCAAATGGTATTAGCCAAGTGCGAGAGCAGTTTGGCCAACAACAAAAGCGAATTGATGAAGAGCAAAGGCAAATTGGCGCAACCTATCAATACGCATACTTGAAGATCATTCGTTAGCGCAGTGAATGACTGCGTATGCAGGCAGCGCACGTAGGCTTCGCGCCTTCACACGCTCTGCATTCCTTCATTCCGCCAATGCGCTCGCGATCTCTTTGGTTCCGCCAATAAGCAGCCTCAAACCGAGCCCAAAAGGGAATTCACGAGCTTCAACATGCTCTAGCGAGAGCTTCCCCGCCTCAAAGGCTTCTCGTTTCGGTCTCATTCCTCCATTTTCTCCCTTCGACGCTGATGCCGACTAAGTATCGCCGCTACACGCTCTACACGAAGCTTCGCGTGCTCGAGGCTGCCCGTAATGGTCTCGACTGGGAAGCTGTCGCTGGAGACAACAACGTGAATCTCAGCACTGCTCGCAATTGGGTACAGCGCTACCCCAACTTTGAGGACGTGATCAGCCCGGCGCCTCGTGGTGGAAAAACCGCGCAAAAGATGACCCCAGCATGCGTGAAGTTCCTATAAGATCAGCTCGCCACTGACCCCGACCTCACGCTACGGCAGATTGCAGACATGCTCGAGACATCGCTTCGTGTAACGGTGTGCCCTCAAACCGTGAAAAATCACCTCGATGCTGCTCTAATCACCATGAAGCAATTCCACAAAGAGCCCCAGTACATGAACACTGCGCAGAACAAGCTTAAGCGCCGTGATTATCTCATTCAGCTGCAGCGTTATCAAGCGGCTGGTAAGACGATCATCTACATGGACGAGACCAATTTCAATCTCTGGTCTACCAGCACTAGAGGGCGCAGCCGCCGTGGCCAGCGTGCTGTGAAGAAAGTTTTTGCTGGTGGCGGCCAGAACTTGCAAGTGATTGCGTGCATCGGCATCGGCGGCGTCGTGCACTACGAGCTGCGATTCGGCGGCAACAAGTATCTGAACTCGAACGAGTTTATCCGAGCCACGCTGCGAAAGGTTGAGAATCTCGACAACGTCGTTCTTGTCCTAGACAACGCGCCATGCCATGCTCGAGCTGAGCACGTCTTTGAGGAGCCTGAGTTTGCTGGTGCTACACTGCTGCGTCTTGGGCCTTATTCGCCCATGCTGAACCCGATTGAGAATGTATTCTCTGCGTTCAAGTCTGCTGTTAAGGATTACATGACCGAGCACCGTGCAGACATTCTTGCTGTCCCCGAAGGTGTCACGATGAAGGCACACAGACAGCTCCATCTCACACGCGCTGCTCGCTCGAAATTCCCTGAGGTTGCTACACCAGGTCTGTGCGAGGCATGCTACCGCCACATGCTCACCTTTCACGTGAAGGTCACGGACCTCAAAGACATGCCTGTAGGCCGTTGAAGCGAGCCAGACGAAGTGCGTGCATCACGACACGCACTCACTGTGTAAGTGCATATGTAGTGTAGTAGTTCTTCCAATCTGGCTTTGCTCTTCATCAATTCGCTTTTGTTGTTGGCCAAACTGCTCTCGCACTTGGCTAATACCATTTGCTCTTGGCTTTATTGGACTGGAAAAGGTGTACACGTGGTATGCCTGAAGTGGGTGATTTGATGAACTAGTCTGGGAGTCTAAATCAAATTTCAAATTGGTTTGAAGGAGTAATATTCGAATCGAGTCTTCTCCTTTCGTGCGTTAAAAGCTCACAACAGTACTAAGTTAATAAAACGGGCTAAATTTTACAAATTAGCTTTACGAAAAGGCCATTCCCAAGTTTAAAAAAAACATGCAACCTTGCGACCAAATGAAGAAAATACTACTGTAGTACTAGTATTCACAGAGTTGTTGCATGCACAAAGAGACATACCGATTACAAGTATGTTTTCGCTTAAAGAAGGCATTCGAACCAACTTACCGGTTTAATCGTGTCGCGGAAGTAGCTGTCCCCATGAAGGAACGCAGTGTCAGCATGGTTGCACTTTGACACGTAAAATTTGTCTTCGTAGTTGTTGCTAAAAAGATTTTCGGGCAATCCACCGCGGCAGCTTTCGAACGTCACTACACCATCGTGCTGCTTGGTGCCATGCTCGACCTGGGAGCCAAGATACAGGTAGCTGGCCTGGTCCGTGGAAACGGTGCCGATGTCATCGTCGCTGCACATGGCCGCCGAAACGTGTTCCCGGTAAACCTTCTGAGCAGCCACGTAGGCTTTGTTGAGATCCATGGTACTATACTTACCGCCCATGTACGCGATAGACTTCATGCCAGCGTCAACGGGGCATTCTCCAAGGAGTGTCAAAATCTTTCGGAAAGCCTGCGTGTCATCGTCCGTGCAGATATCCTGAACGTAGTTCGATGCCATCGTACCGTTCATAGGCGCACTCATACTCACCCACGTCGTACTGTTATCAAGGCTGCACCTCTCGTTGGCGACCGCGCCAGCCACGATCAACGCGCCCATCGAGTGAGTCACCAGGATAGTGTCTTTGATCAGCCCTTCGTCTTCGTCGCTGGTTTTGCTCATAGACAGAGCGTGTTCGCATACCGTCTTCTGCAGGCTCTTGTCAGTCCAACGAGCTGTCATCGTGTCCAGGGACGCATACTTGATAGTCGAGCAGCACGGGGCGTGGTCAGACATATCGCCGAACTTCTTAGACTTGGTCTGCAGCTCCTTTTCTTCGTTTTCGTTGCTCTCTCCGTGGATAAAAAGGCACGGGCGAGGAGTGGACTTGCACTCGCACGCCTTCGACCCGAAGCTCCACATGCCTGCTTCCGCTTTAAGCGCCCGCACTTGTTGGCTTGGCAGAGGGTCGGTCGCAGACGCGGTGACAACGAGCACCCCGAGCGCTGCAACTAGAGTTCGTCCCCACATTTTAGCGCAGCGTTAAGCAAAGAAGGCAACAGCTATAAATCCGGAGTGGCTGATGACGAGCATATTGCCCAAAGCCAATCCCATGATAAATGAGCCGGAATTGGCTACGTACATATGCTGTCTGATCAGTTCAACAAACAAACAAAATACAAAATGTACACATGGCAAAGAGCAATGCCTTAAAAACTTTTAAATAAGGTTTGACCTAAGGAGAAAATAGGAGAAACACACGTCCATCGCTGGGATAACACACACGGGGCTGGGCGACGTGGGTGCCATAGCCGCGGCGCCAACTAAGGTGAGCGGGTGCGAGGCGCGTAGCCGCAGCAAACCCGCGCGGAGAGCCCGCGAAGCCCTCAGGGCCGCGCGGTATTTGCGGAGGCGGGCCCAGCGCTGAGCTCACCAGCGAGCCGAGCACTACACTTTCCAGAACATTCTATCTCCATATTGCGAGCGCAGCGAACCGCGGGGGCGCCGAAGGGGCGCCCAGCGCGGCTGGTCCCTTTTCTGCTGTGACCTCTAATCGTCGATTATGTCTTATTGCGACACTCAGAAGGTCAAAAGTATACAGAAGTCAAGTCAATTGATTTGCTGTGTGCTGAAACAGTAAATACATGTGTTTGGCATGTTCTGTCTGACCTAAGTACAGTACTGCACCCCTTTTTCGCGGGGGTGGACCATATAGGATTTACGAATACCGGTATGCAATATTTTAGCCTACAAGTGATTGTTCATTTGCATTCAGGATCATCACCTTCGGAAGCTTATCAAAGAACGAGAACGGTGTGCAGTACTGTACCAGTTTTGATTCGGTTGTGACAGCTCCCACTAAGCTTTTTTATACTGGTACCTTGGCAGTAGTCGCATAGATGATGGTGCTTTTTCTTGGTTAAAGTAAGCAGGTGTTCGGTACCAAGTCGGTGCATACCGATTTCCTTTCAATCGGCCCAGTACCGGTAATTCACACTTTTGTAGCCGAAAATTGGCGGGTCAGACGAGACTGGGGACACATTCGAAAATCCGCCGTTGACAACCCTGCTGGCCGGGTTTTCGAATTTAAGTCTGCAGGGAATTACTGGGCCAACTGCCGTGGTCGGCTTTCACAGCAAATCGGTATTCACTGATTTGATACCGATAACCAGCTTACTTTATACAAGAAATAGCACCACTACTTCGCAGCATCTATGCGACTACTGCCATGGTACCGGTACAAAAACGTTTAATTCCCACTCAATTCCCACTCAATGTAACAGTGGGGCTCCATGGGATCCCTGTATGACTCACTTTTTCACAATTGGATTCTTACAGCTTGTGACAGGAGTTGCAGCGACAAAAAGTAAAGTGCAGATTTAATAAGCAATTATGTAAATAACGCTTAAAAACGTAAAACCGCTAGAATTACTTCTACAGTAATTGACCTCACCTTTGGACGTCAAAAACATATAAACTTTCCCAGTCTATGCGCTTTAGCACAGAATCTGGTAACCCCTCGAAACCGGGTGCTGCATAATGCAGGATTACCATTTTCGTTAAACTGAATATATTTAGTTTAACGACTTTTAGTCTTAAAGTTTGTAAGACGTGTCTTTTCGCTCGCCAAAAGGCATACAAATTTTAAGACAGCCAGAATGCCTGTTTCTGTGTGCGTCTTTTTTTCTCAAGAGGTTAAAAGTGGCAACATTTGTCTACCGTATTCCTTATGTGATTGGCGACAGTCAAATTCTTGAGGTGGTCGAGCCTTTCTGCCAGCATAAAAGATACCTGCATAAAAAAAACTATATAACATGCTAAAATTATATTGGTCGCCAAGCACATAAAGCGCGACGACACGAAATTTAAATCAATTTGATTGGCTGCTGGATTTGTCGCTAATGACCGAGCGTCGCCAATCACATAAGGAATACGGTACATCTAAAGATCAGCTTTGCGAGGTTTTTGAGAAAAGCTAGATGATTTGTATTACATACCGGAGGTAACGGGCTGATCCCACTTAGTGAGTGGTGCACAGCCAACGACGATCGCCGCCTTTTCCAAATGTCTCTCATTCGAGAATTCTCGCCCCGAGGACCAAAGACGCAGGAGGATGGTGAGAGTCCGAGGCAAAGTGCCGCGAGACTGCGAAGCTACCGCACGCGACTTATCTTTCCAGGCGGTGTGGAGAGAGCTGAAGAAGGACGGGTGGACACGAAAGCCCCCTTCGGGGCGCAGTCTCGATGACCGCTACTTTTATATGCCTCCCGGTAAGAACGTGAAGGGGAGCGAAGGCGTCGATTACTTCCGTGGCGAACAAGTAGTATTGGAGCATTACGCAAAAGGTGTGTGTATTACTTGCAGTTGAATAGCTCGTTACTATGTCTAATACCAAGTTTGTTGCTTGTAGAACTGCGACGCAACGCGGTAGGCGTCCTACCCAGTGCTCCTGGAGATGATCAACTAGCTGCTGCCGCAGCTATCGTACGTGAAAGCTAGGCTGCTGATATCGAAGCAGCAGAAGCAAGAGCTCGAGCTCAGGCTACTTCTCAACGAGTCCCCACAAATCAACCAACTACCGGTGTGCCTCCCGTCCCCGTACATGAATCTACTACCAGGCCACAGTCACCATCACAGCGAGCGCCGGCGCGTCGCTCTTTGATGAATACTCCAGGTCCTATGGCAAATTCTCCAGTTAGAAGTACCCAGCCAAGCTCTCCGCTCATCCCGACGTGACCACACGGTCAAGACGCCGACTGCTCATCTGAAGAAGCAGTAGAATCTGATAATATCAGCGGCAGCAACTCCACACATCCAGCACAAACTCCAACCAGAAACGGTATGCTGCATTGTATATTGAATGCTATGCTGAATAGCTTGCAGTATAATGTACTGCATAGTGCTCTGCATATTACGCTGCATTATATACTGCATAGTATGATGTCTGTTAATCCGAATACTGACATAATTATGTGCTGCTTTTTAGATGATGCAAATGAAGACGAAGAAGATTCAGCTCTTGGTAGCGAGCTGCTTGCCGATAGCACCGATGATTTGAGCGCGGTTGTTGATCACGCCATTGAACATCAGTTTGGAAATTTGGATTCGGGTGATGAGGCGGAAGCCGATGACATAGAGACCGGAGAGTGTGTATCGGATGAAGAGGCGGGAATTTATTGTGCATCTGAGGACATTGGTGATTATCTGGTCGCGACAGAAGACGAAATCACTGCAGACGGAGAATTTTCTTGATAGTTTTGGTGGAGAGGATGGGGTTCTCGCTGGAAACCTAAAGAACGCTGTCATGCTTGAGATGTCCGCTATTGGCTGGGAGGATGTCATTGAACCTGATACTGCTGAGTACATGCAGGGCCCGTACGATTCCATCGACAATACTTCAAGCTATCCTGGCCTTCGCCAAGGGTACTCAGGTCCAACTGCAGACGTTTTGCGCAGAGGAGACTCTCCAATTGGACTCTTCTTTTACTTTCTTCCTGTTGTATTGTGGCAGCACATTGCTGCTTGCTCGACGGAGTATCACCTGGAGATGCTACCACGTCGTATTGACGAAACATTTCAGCGATATCGCCGGAAGCGGAGGTTGAACCCACAGTTACCAAGAAAGACAAGGCGAGATATTCAGCACGACTTGGAAGGCATGAAGTCTATCTTACCACACGAACTGTGCCAGTTTGTTGGACTATTGGTGGCAAGGACAATTGCTCCGAACTGAGAAAAAAAAACTTGCTAATCACTGGAAGACAACGGGTGAGGGCGCTATATCACGAGGGTGTTTCGGCTCAGTGCTGTCTAGAGGCCGATTCATGGAAATTTCACGCAATCTTAATTTCAACTCAAACAACGACCCCAGGGCTCAAACAGATCGCGCTTGGAAGATCCGCAAGCTGGTAGAAGTCTTGCAGCGCACCTTTCTTCGTGGATACGTTGCGCCATCACACTTGGCGTTCGACGAAGCAGCCTTACCCAGTCGGTCATCCTTCAATAAGATGCGCGTTTACATGAAGGACAAGCCCCACAAGTGGGGCACCAAGCTCTTCATGCTATGCAGCGCAGTCACAGCGTACTGCATCAGGTCTGATTTTTTTTGAAGCGGCTTTTTACTATCGTGCATTATTCAGTTTTGTCTGACATTTTTTGTGTCTTGTTTGCTGAATATATGCAGGTTTGAAGTATATTGCGGTAAGAAACAGCACGCTAGCGACGCCCACAAGCCCGAAATGAAATCAGGCCCTGCTGCTGTTGTCCGAAACCTACTTGCAGCATTTGGCCCGTATGCTAGAAAGCAGGGAATGCGCCTAGTCGTCATCGACCGGATCTATACTTCAGTGGCTTTAGCTATTCAGCTGCTGCTGATGGGGTTTTACTGTGTGGGAACAATCATGACCAACCGCTTGGGATACTGCAAGGGTGTCGCCGAGAAGAAGAAGACTCGTCCACCCGGGATTACGCGCGGGTCGTTCAAGGTGGCTACTTCTAAGCTCGTGCCAAATATGTCAGCAATATGTTGGTGGGATTCTCGCCCTGTACACTTTCTCAGCACGGGAGGAAACCTTGAACTTGATCGGGTGGTGCGACAGAATGGTCCCACGCAAGAGGAAGTCCCATGCCTTAGAGTCGTAAAAGATTATCAAGCGTACATGGGTGGCGTGGATGTCCATGACCAGCTGAGATTGCAGCGTTATTCTCTCCCCGTTTTAGAAAATACTATAAGTCGTTCGCACTGGGGCTCATTGACTTGGCTATTGTAAATGGATACATAGTCCATAAGGACTTTCACAAGAACAAGCAGTCACGACCACTTACCCACGTGAAGTACATGAAGAAACTTCATCTTCAGCTGTGTCGCCTACAAGCTACAGACATGTATGAGTCCAACGCATTCGGCACCCAGCCACCCCAAGCCAGACCTGCATATGTACCGGTCCCTGTCGGTGCAAACCAGTCAATTGGACACGCTGCCCGTCAAGTAGATGAATGGAGAAACGAAGGAGCACAAGAGAAAAGACGGC